ACGATGACAAGTTTGACAACATCTCATAATCAGTATCCCGCGGGATCCCACACCCCCACCCAGTCTCTCTGCTGGGACTTCTCACTGGTGATGGGCATCGCAGCGGGCTTCCCCTACTCTGGCTGCTTACAAACTGGGTGTGTTGGGGCTTTTCGCTCACTGTCTTGGAATGACATTTTGTAAATTGCAAATGACACAATATGGTGGGTGCATGGATTTTAAGGAAATAATGTTAAGTATTAAGACTTTTTAGCAGTTTAACCATTTCTCGAACATTAGTTTTATTGTCTTTAAATTAGGGCAGCCAAAGTAACGCATTCATTTTGATTAATTAATCAGAGAAAAAAATAACGCGTTTAAAAAAAAATTAACGCTAATTAATTATGTTCCGTGGTGACCTCTGGTTCCATGCATTATTGAAGGCCACGGTGGCTTTGTCACATGATGGAGGCAGAGGGTTGCTTGGCCCAGATGGAACTGTTGATAGGAGCACCACTCTCTGCAATTTCTGCAGAAAGGAATTTTTGTGCCGTCGGAGCACTTGAAGCGTGAAACGTCAACTCAACGTAAAACATTTAGCAGTAAACCCAGAGGCCCGAGCTAGCACAGCCTCTGATGCTAGCGCTAGCAGCCAGCTTCGTTAAGCCACACTTGACCAGGTGTTCAGACGCAAACTGAGCAGGCCTAACCGTGACCGATGAACTAACTCCGTTGCAAATGGACAGGGGGGCAATTGTGTCCAAAATCCAGCAGCTTTACTAAGACACATCTGCCAAAATTACTTTGACTTGACATTTTTTAAATACTTTCAAAGCAACAGTTGATATATGCGATTAATTTAGATTTATTAATCACAGAGCATTTAATTAAATAGATTAATTTTTTAATCGCTTGACAGTCGCTACTTCAAACACAATTTTAAGGTTTTAATCAGTTCTCAAAAAATTATTATGATCTTTTTACCATATAACAGACTATAGATTTACTATGTTTTAACTTGAAACAAACTGTGATTATATTATCTTTTAATTTAACCTTGTATTCTCATTCAAATCTCATCATAGCCCACACACCACCTGATGAAGCAGTAACAAACTCATTAAATAAAAAATACCCTAAATGTCTCCACAAACCCTGCACATCCACATCACTCTGCCACCACAGTGTGGAGCTGCATTGTATTCAGGTCATGCAGCATGTGTGAGGTCCTTTTGCCATCTCCACTGACACAAAATAAAATAAAAATACTGGGTCGTGTGTTATAGAGGAACAGTACACACTGCCGCCTCCAGTCATCCAGTCCTCCAGGACAAGCAGACAGATGTACCAACAGACTGACAGACAGAGTGGTGCCAGGATGAAAAAAAAAAAACAAAACTCCACCCTCTTTGGCGCAACAGAAGGAGGACAGGATTGTCTAGTCACACTCCATGTGTGGAGCGGGATAACCGTCTTATGTGGCTTTGTGGTACAAGCAACCTGGAGATCCGCACAAGGAGCCAGAACAAATCGGTGCATCCAAACACACAGAAAATATACACAGTGTGATTTGTATTCCGTACTGTCTTTGGAGGTCATTCAGAAATGACAGGAAATCACCCGGCCTATTCTCTGACCTCTAACCCCTGCTCTGCCATGGCTGGGGCTCAGAATGTGTCATCTGTCTGTCTCACTGCCTCAGCACACAGATTGTTACATATTTACACTATGTGTTTCTTAAATCAGACGTGACTTGCCTTAACGCTAACTTATGACTCAACGTGCACTCAGAGCAGGTCCTGTTTCCTCCAGTGTTTACTCCACAGTGACTTTATGTCTTTGTTACAGCATTTATCAAAAGAAAAATGAACATAACCTTCATAAGACCCGATAATAAAACCGTCATTCAAACTCAAATTTACATCCTCGCAGCCCACACTCATAGCGTTTCATAATTCATTTTTAATGAGTACACAGCAAAAAACAAACACTGAGTTCACAGAAAATGCTCCTTTGGCTGCCTGTGAGGAAACAATGATGGCGTGTTAGCCTTTAAATCAGCTGAGTTGGCTGACCTTTTGGGCTGTGCAACAGATACATGGAACCACTTAGCATAAAGTGTTGCGAATTAGTGTGTTTCTATTTTTTGTTCCCGTTTTTTTTTTTCACTCTGTTGCTATTTTTGACAGCTGTCCTTTTCAGTTACGGAAGAAAACTGTGCATTACACACTGCTTCTTTTTTTCTCAGCCCAAAGCCTCTCTGCAGGGAGGACTGGATGGAAATCATACTGAGCGTCACATGGAGGCAGTGCCCACATGAGAGTCAGGAAAAGGGGCTTTATGAAGGAAAAAGCAGAACTAGCAAAACTCACACTGGAGAAAAGCAGCTTATCTTTTTCTTTTTTTTTTCTTACCCTCACTCTTCTTATTTCCTACTTATTCTCCTGGTTCCCATGGTAGTGTTGTGTTTTCATGAGCACCTGACTCACGGCAGCTCTCTGGGCTGTGGGGGAGTTATCAGTGAGCCAAGCCAGATGCCCTCTCTCTGGGTAGCTGGCTGCATGCAGTACTGTACCTCTCCTGCCTCTTCCCACACAAACTGTCCGCTGGACTCCTTACACAGACACAACGTAGAGCCACATTGTGCGTCTTCTTTTGTTTTTAACAATGATGAGGAAAAAAGAGGCCCTGGGTGTCTTCGCTGGATCTCTGTGTACCTGATATCAAGTCAGTGACTCAGAGTAGAGAGCCGACACCAGCGATGCTTCTCAGGCTTTTTTGGCTTGTGGCACCTTTAATAAAGTGTTTCGGCTACTGATCCTCTTTACACAACACTCACTGCATAAACATTTCCACTTGCAATGCGTTTTCATCAACCTAAATGAAATAGAAATGTGTATGACATTATTGCAGGGTGTGCAACGTCGTCATGTGATCTATGAGAGGATGATGACTTCTGGAAAGCAAGTGTTTTAAAGCAAGATATTGCACTGGCAGCCTAAGAGCACTGTGCAGAGAGCAGATGGTGTAATGAGATATGCTGTAATAACAATCTTACTGTCAGAGCCTCTGCCTGCATGAGACTGCACTTACACAGTGGCACAGCAATCATCACGGGCCATGTATTTTTCTATAAAATCGCTGCTTTGTAAAATTACAACCAATGCATACGGGGTCATGGTGCACCGGGGGTCTTCCTGAAAGTTCAAAGCTATGCATTTCAAATGAATCTTATTGTTAAGTGCAGCCACAGGCTCATTTGGTCACTATAGCATACATAAATGGGCTTGTAGGGCTCAGTTGGTACACCACAGTTTGATCAGTGCCAGGGTTAGGAGTTTAATTCACAGGGGAGCTACCCAGGCTAAAAATATGCACAGTCACTGTACCGTAAGATGCTTCAGTTAAGAGTACTGTACATAACATGTTCCTTCTGTAGCATACTGAAGCACACTGTGGACTTTGGGGTTCAAAGGTGTGCTTACAGTACAATAGATTCTTCTGAAAAGTCTGACCTAATTTTCAGTTGTCATATAAACAGCCCGCAGATTCACACAAATCCTGTTCAATTATGTAACTCCCTGTTGTGTTAGGGATGTGAACACAGCCCATCAAGCGTGACATGACTGGGCTCCGTCTTCACCACTTTCCCCTGTGTTGTTTGGAAAACAAATACATATCAAAACCGCAGCTAATTCACAAATTATGACCAGAGAATACAGGCAAGGTGTTTTCGGTGTTTGTACGGAAAACCAAAAACACCTCAGAAACATGTTGAGCTTGTGCTTGTGTGCTTTTCTAGACACGTCTGAGAGCATGAGGGGGTTGAAAAAGGATGGTTTTACAGTATGAGACAATACCCCCTCCACACATAATGGATAGCTCTCAGAAGTGAAATGATGAGCTTTAAATGGGCTGAAAGGGATGTTTTGTTTGTCAGATTGGCTTTCAGTGGCAAGAAAATCAGTTAGTGCCAACAATGGACAATTCTGGTGAAGTGAATACGAAGGGTAGGCGTATGATTGTGGTCTCTACTCCGCTGCAAACAGGATTCCCCTCCGTATCAGCAGTATGCAGGCAAAACACACGGATTTAGGCAGAAGAGAACACACAGCTGAGCTAATGTGCAAGAGCAGAATTAGTGCATTGTAGTAAAAACACCCCATTCATAGCAATGAGTTCGGCTAGCGTATTAGCTGACGCTGGCACATTACATCTTTCTTTCATCTTTCTTAGAGTCTGACCTTGAGGAGAAAGTCTGCATCACTATTCAGAACACACAATACACTCTGGTGTGCATCACTTGAGATTTTCTCTCTGTCAAAGAACACATTCACACAAGAATCTATAGATACATACTTTTGTTATTATAAGTAGTAGTAGGCCAGTAGCTGTTGTTGTGGTAGTAGTGCTGTGACATCATTTACTGTAAACCCCTGTGATTGAAAGCACAACAAATGTCCTGTGTCATTCTGATCTCAGCTGATGAACTGGACCCATCACAGCTGACCACCATGTGAGAGAGCTGCGTTTATACATGCCAAGGGCACAACTCCATTCATGTCAACATTAACAGAAGGCCGCGCACACGAGTAGAAACCGTCATTAACATCTATCGCTGCCGGCAAATGTATGTTAGTCATTCTCAATTATTAGCATTGTGCAATTTCCTGGTCTTCCAGATGTTCATACTGTACATGTGTTCCCTAGCACATGTGCTGCTGCTAGTTTTGTTGTTACTATCACCCCAGGCACTTTAAGATGGGCTGCTGCATGACTGCACCATGTGCAGTGCAGTAGATTACCTACTGTATAATATGCATGCAATAGAGGCTCTCTGCCATCTAGTGGTGTACAGCAATATTGAAATTAATGGCAAACTTCAGCAGCTCAATTCAAGTTCACTCAGGGCAATTGATGCCAGTGTAGTGATTTGCATCCAGTTGATATATGAGCCTGTTCGATAGCCCATGTGAAAATAAATGAGTTTATGTTGAATGAGAATCAAAGTACATTCATTCTGATTTCATTTCAATTTAAAATTTATTTAATTCTGTACAATAAAAAATATCCAGTGGTACCATTTTACAGGTAATATTTCTCAAAAAAGATTGAATAAATTAAACCCCTCAGAAAACTGTAATCAAAACTCTAAAAAATAGGCAAAATACAAGTTGTATTTCCAGTCCAAGAAATCTAAAAGTAAGGTGGATCTAATCCTGTGTGAATCAGGTCTGCAGTCAGCTCATTTTGATTTCATTTACACTAACATGTACATTGAAAGTGAAGTTCACATAAAGTCCCCACAGATTCTAAAACACCTCTTTACCATAAAACAGATTCTGACTTGATAAATCTGAAAAATGAATCTCAAACCGTGGTGAGTGTATACAGTGAGAAATGATCTGGTCTGATTAGTTTCGCAGCTCAATGATATGCATGAAATCTCTGCACAAAAATAACAGCCCACATTAATCACATGGCCCTAAAAACATCAAAGCACTGGAATTACCCAAAATGCAGACATAATCAGACATAATTTTGCTATTACATAGTTAGTGTCCTGCAAAGTCACTTTGAAAGTCATGGTTTAAAACCCATAAAAGTTACAAACCTCTTTAAGCAATTTGCAAAACACTGGGCCGTGTCACTGTATTTGACAAACTGAAGGAACGCCATTTTAAAAAAGCAGTTAAATCACTTTTCTTTTTTTTTCTGTTTAACAGAATATAAGGCGCCGGGGAGAAAAACATTCCTCAGAGTTCAACCTGTGACACTTGTATCACCAGATGATGGCGCGAAAGGTCTTGTATCTCACCACAGAAGGCACATTGAGATCTGATTTGGACAGGATGACCCAAACCAAATTCAGTCATGATTTGGTGTTCAATCGTTTTTTGGATTAAATCAAACTGTAAAAGTGTGTGTATCATAAATGTGGGTGCAGGTACAAAATGGCTCCCAAATCCTCCAGTCTTTTTAAGGCTTCTGCTTCGTGATTGAGGTCATGGTAAGAATTCTGCAACAGAGAGAAAGAGGAGCATGGGTATGTCATAGCACAGCCTGCTAAAACAGCAACCACTTTACATTTGAAGTACTGCAGATGACCGCTACCCACCTTCATAGACTTCATGGTGTCATATCCATAGTAATGGATAGGCTGCCTTTGGCTCTTTGTGTTAGGGTATCCAAAACCAGCAATGTGGACCACATCACAGTAGTTGAGAGCAACAAACACAGCGAGGATACCCGTCGTAGGATGCACTGGCTGCTGAAACAAAGACAAGTTATTGACAGTACACTGCAGTGATTCTGTGTCTTGTGACAAACATATTAAAGCCCCTATGTGCAGGATTTAAACATTTCTGACACTGGTGACTCCTGGTGGTGGTATCAAATAAAACAGCACAAAAAGTAACACAAAGACTGCACCAAATGTCACTGGGATTTCGGCTTTTGCTACAAACAAAAACATATGCCATCTGAAGCACATAAACATTCTACTCATACAGTAAGGGCTCTAGCTTAATGAAACCGCAGACAGATGAAGCAGCTTGCATGAAATTGTTAGTTAAATATAAGAGGTGCTACAATCTACATCTGCAGACAAGTGAAAGAAGTGATGAAATGAGCATTCATGTAAAAAAAAAAAAAAGCTAAATGCTAATTGCACATCTGTTGTGTCGTGAAAGCTGAAGTGTTTTAAACAGGCAGGGAAACTATAACGCAACTGCAGCCTCTCATTTCGCCACTAGATGGAAACAGAGGGCAACAGAAACTGCTGCCGCTGACCTTCACTTGCAGTTCAACACAAGTCTTCTCCATGTGCACAGTACTATCCAATGACCTCAGCATTAATCATTGGGCCCGCATGCAAAACTTACAGCAGTATGCAAACATTTTTTGATGACATCTAGCTCTCGTTTCAACAGAGGTTGAAAGCACTTATTATAAGTTGCATGACTGTTGCATAATGTTAGATATCATGTGAGCTTTTTGCAAAACAAAACAAGCCCGACATGTTAACAGAGCACTCTGAAATTTGCAAACTTGCAAAGCAGACCTTTGAGCTTTTTTCAGAGACCGAGTGACTTATCATCGGGTGAAGTATACAGCCAAAGCAGGACATACTTGTGTGCACTTCACTGTTTTGATGCAGTGCTAATTTGTTCAACACAATGGTATCATCTTTTACACAACACTGCTTGAACCCTTGACCCCTCCTCCTAGCAGCTTCCCAAAGGTCTTGGTTGTGTGACGGACGAGTTACTTCACATTAGCAAGTCTCATCCCACAAACTGGGTTTTTTCCAGCAGCTTACTCACTCCCTTAGTCCGGCCTCTTCTCAAGAAAAGCACTCTTGATGCCAGTAACAAGTCACAACTTCAGGCTAATTTCCCACTTTGTGTTTGAACAAATACTTGAGAAACTTGTTCACCTTCAGCTAAAAAATGTATGCAAACTCTATTTTTGAGAACATGAGAGGGCACTTGGCTCAGACCCAAAGTGCTCGCTGACAGTTTTGTTCAAAGTTGTAAAAATGATGAGAACAGACTTGGATACCAGAAATTCGGGAATGTTGTCTTTTTACATTAGATTAATGTGTCCTTATTTAAAGGTTAAAAACATAAGTCGTTGACTCATCAGAGACCCTGGGCTGTTTGTTCGGTTAGAGTATTTTAATTCTGCGTGTGGCTGCCATTTGGATAGCATGAGGCTGTACAAACTCGTAGACCCGCTGACAACCTTGTCAGTGACTGCAAGGGAAATAACTGAAATTATGTTAATCAGAACATTTGACAGCAATTTTAATCATCTAAAACAATGGCCTCCCCAACAATAATGGTCACATACTTTGATCGTGGCACAACAGAGGAAAACTGTTTGTTTACACTATTTAAATCTGAGGATGAGCCAAGGATGAAATATTTCATCTCAACTCTGAGGGGGTTGTCACACAAAAACATGACTAATGAAAGATGATATAAAAAATATCAATAAATAAATTGAAATTCTAAAAGACAACAAAACAATGAATATAATCACATTAAAAACACACATAAGCAATCAGGGCTCTCCATGTCCTAGACCTAGGGGTTTAAGACACCAACCATTTACCACAGCATCCCTATAGTCCAAATCCAGCTAGGGACCTTTGTTGCATGTTGTTCCCTAGCTCTCTCCCCTCTTGTTTCCTGTCACCCCTCTGCACCAACATCTAACAAATGCAAAAAGCCTCCAAAAATACTGAAAGTCATCTTTACTTGAAAGCACTTCTTACAGGATTTCCTATACTTCCTTATCTGACATGTCTGTTTGAAAAAGCTGCAGTCCGGACACTCTACAAAACCAAATGAACTAAGTGCACAAACCAATTTTGCCTGTAGGCGACAAAACAGTTTTAGGGCCTTTGCTATTGTTTTCAAATCAGAGCACAGTCCTGCTGCTGAGAGTTTAATATCCCAGACACATCACTATGTTCAGCTAACTCAGAGCCCACAGTGATGTTACAACTGCTACATATGACCAATAATTATTATAATGACTAAAGGAAAATCTCTTTATGACAAAGTGAAAGCAAAAATAACTATTGACGCACTTAATTCAATTCAACTTCAATTCAATTTCATTTATAAAGCCCAATATCACGAGTCACAATTTGCCTCAGAGGGCTTTACAGCATACAACATAACTTTTTCTTGGGAGTCTCACAGTGAATAAGGAAAAACTCTTTAAGCAGTCGACGGAGTTATAGTTGAGACAGTATAGTAGAAGCAAGTCAGTATAGTCGAAGCAATGTGGGCCCCAACTCCTGCCTCGATTTGATGTGGAGAGGTCTGCACATCTGGACAGTGATGTTGTCCACATTCACACACACAGGGGATCCCTATTCGATGACGACTTCTGGCGTGTCATGGTGAAGGGATGAATTCAGAGTTGTGAAAAACATTAGCATGCTAAACTCCAAGAGGAGGCTTGAATGTTAACAATTGTAACTGTAAACATAAACTGTTACCACAGACACACAACTTTATCCCTGCTATCTTCCAAAGGAGCTGGTCGGAAATAGAGGTATAAAGAGATAAAAGAAAGCAGATGAAGAGACAACAAATTCCAGCCCTGATGACATTCAGCCCTCTGGCTGACTCAAAGTCTCAAAGATACAAATCACAGGGCATCTTGGTGGACTGAGTGTACCAAGTAATTACCCTGCTTTCAATCCAGCTGGGGACCTTTTGTCGCATGTCTGCCATATCTGCCTGTTTCCAATGTTTCATGTCTATTTTCTATTTTGTAAAGAAAATGGCAATATCCTGTGTGGCCCTATACAAAAGTAATCTTGGTCCCAAAAATTACTAAAATACTTCTGTTTTCTTGCTTGTCACTTGTGATTCGCCTCTGATAAAAACACAAAAAATGAAGGGACCCCACTGACATCATTTTAGAAAAAAAAGAAAAAAAACTAATGTGAGATTTAATGAGTTGAGACATGTTTGTTGTGCTGTCTCTACCAGGCTCTTACTGTGCTCAGAGATTTCCCTGTGTTGTTTGCCATTTCCCATATGACTGTCAGTGATTATCCATGTTCGCAGGGGCAAGAAGGAGAATCACTTCCACATGACCGCGAGATACAAGAAACTTTCTCTTTCCCGTCTCTCTCCAAAATGTGCTCACTTTCCCCAATGGCCTTACACATCTCTCCCCTCTAAGCCTTTCCGTGTTATCAACAGTATTTTCTTTGCAAGAGCCGATGGAAAAATCCAGCTGCAAAGAAGTGTACACACACCAGTGGGCTTGCCATGCTTTTTCTCTTTAAAGGAGTAGTTCAACATTTTAGTAAATACATACAGATGAAACCGCTAATCGTGATCAGGTCTGTGCGGGTCAAATTGATCACCATAAGCAGAAAATTATATTAATCTTTTCTTTATTTCTCATGCAGATTATCGTCTAACTGGCCACAACCACAGGTGCTTTACCCATGTGCATTTATTTGCTGTCTCCATCACTAGCAGCCAGCAGCCATAAGCTTTGAGGAGACATTTATCACTGAGAGAAAACAACTTTCTTTTTGCGTCATGATTTTAATGTGCACAAAACACCAGCCTCAAGTAGCCAGTCGGGAGCAGACAGGTGACTGTGAGGCAAGGTATCATGGGAGTAAAGAGAAATAAAAATACAATTACTGTGGTTTTAAAATTGTTTTCCATATGTTATCATGTCTGCAAAGACCCATACTAAACACTGTACACAGACTGGTCGATTACTAGAAGTGAATCACTTAAACGGTATTTGTAAAAAATGATTCTTTTTGAAGCTTTTGATCCATATTAGCATTTTATCACTGTAACATTGATCAGTATAAGTGATTTCCAATGTACCTGTCTCTTGCTGCGAGTTAGATCTTTTATCTGTCCCTCCTATATGTAGCTACAGCTATCGGCCAGTTATCTTAGCTTAGCATTAACACTGAAAACAAGGGGGGACCTCTTTTATTTATTCATTCATTTTCCATAGCTGCTTATCCTGTTGGGGGTCGCTGGGGGGGGTGGAGCCAAGAGGCGGGGTACACCCTGGACAGGTCACCAGACTATCACAAGGCTGACACATAGAGACAGACAACCATTCACACTCACATTCACACCTACGGACAATTTAGAGTCACCAATTAACCTGCATGTCTTTGGACTGTGGGAGGAAGCTGGAGTACCCAGAGAGGGCCCATGCTAACATGGGGAGAGCATCCAGGCTCCCCCACTTTGAGTTTGAACCAGGAACCTTCATGCTGTGAGGCAACAATGCTCACCACTGCACCATCGTGCCACCAAGCCTGGTTCTGTCCAAAGTAAAACCAAACCCTCCTACCTGCACCTCAAAAGCTCACTTACTAACTCGTATCTCATTAGTTTAATTCATACAAAGACAAGAATGACAAGTCGAACTTTCTCGAATCTCTGGTGATTTTTCTGACAACCCCAAGGACACTGTTGCAAGGCAGGTTTTTAACCTTGGACAGAGGAGGCTGTTTCCCCATCCCCAGTCTTTATGCTAAGCTAACTGGCTGCTGGCTTTATCTTCATGTTTAGCGGACAGATATGAGAGTTGTGTAGATCCTTTTATCTTGGCAAGCAAGCAAATAAGCATTTTTTTTTTAACTATTGCTTCAAACATCGTTGACAAGACGCTTTTTGAAATGTATTTATTTAGACAAGCCTATGAACTAAGCGTGTGTTTTTTCTGCATGTGTGTGCATTTTTCACATATGTGCATCTGTCAGAACTAAAGCTGCATTTGAAAAGAAATTTGCAACATCCTACTTGAGAATTCACGGGAATAAAATATTCAGTGTTGGATTTATGCAAAGCACACTGCCTAATAATTGGCCATAGAGGTGTAAACAGTTCAGATGTAACAGCGCAAAAAGAAGTTTTCGCAAGTGTTCAGCTCTTGAGACACGGCTCTCAGATGGCTAAGAGATAGGCTCTCTACTTCTAGTTTGCATAATGATGCAAAACAAGCTAAAGGAAGAGCACACACACGCACGTAGCAGTGTGTTTTCCTTTGTGTACATGTTGCTGGGCTTAAGTGCACTTGTGGTTTGTTTTTTACCCAATCTAAACAACTATGAGCTCTGCTGCACTGACACAGAAGGCGATCTGACCATGACAGGCTCGATAAGAATCCAAAACACAGCCTCCTTCCTGTTCTCTTCTTTCCTCTCTCAAACATTACACCGTATCAATTTGCTATTGCACTGAGCCTGACTGATGAGCACCCGCAATGGGACACAGCTGACATTCTGTGTGTATTAGCTTCATGTGGTCGCCAGCACACGGGCGAACACCAGAGCTCTGCAGTGGCTCGGCGCATAGTTTGGACGCAGGCCCATGGAGCCTTGGTGAGAGAAGGGGGGGGGGTGGAGCTGCATAGTGTCACCACTGCGAGCCAGACCTACAAGAGCTCAACACAGGCCTGTGTTTGGGGAGACGGGTGTGAACATAAGAGTTATGTGTGTGTGTGTGTGTGTGCAATGCAAAAAAGAAAGGGAGGAAAGAGGAGAGAAGTGGCTGCATGTGTGAGAGTGAGTTTGTGCTTGCGTGTGTGTGTTGAGGGGGTCCTGGTCTATCTGGCAGGGTCATTAGCTGAGGGAAGTTTCTGCAAAGAGGAGGTCTGCTACAGTCAGAACTCCTGCTGGTATTTGGCAGATGAGGAATACCCAAGGACAGAAAAGAGGGGAGAGACAGAAAAAGACAAGACAGAATGAAGCTAGTGAGAGAAATCTAGGTTTTAGCGTGTGTTAAGCATGTTAAATTATTATCGTATAAAAACAAAGCATACATATTTGCAGCCCTGAATAAAACGAAACCAGTTTCTGATGTTTTAATGCTGCTAAAGCAAGCACAGATCTTCCTATTGCTGTATCCCTCCATCTTTCTCCTCCTCTTTCTGCCCACCATTCTCTCCCCCTGACCCTTTCCATACAGTGTGTGCAGATGGTGCAGAGCTCCTGTCGGGCGAGCCCGCTGATCGCCTGTAGGATCGCTGCCTTCCCACTGCTCACTCTTCTCATGCACCAGCCAGTTGTGTTTGTACTGCAGTCCAAAAGGGTAACAGCCCCCCCCCCCCCGACTCTTTCACAAAAAGGGCTCAGGAGAGGGGAACAAGCAGGACCAAAACAAAACTTGGCTCAGGCCCAGGTCAGAGACGATCCCCACCAAACACACAACAAGCCCCACTTGGCAGATGGGATACAATGGGCCAATAAAAACTTCTATGTGAGTAATGGTCCAAGTCAAATCCCAGGGTGTTTCAAAACCCAGCCCCCTCAGCCAAAGAGGCGAGTTCCAGTATATCAGTCATTGTTTCATAAGTTAATTTATGATTATGTTTCTACATTTGTTTGTTGTAATCTGATGAAGCTAACGTGTCTTTCCTTTACTATCATATTTGTTTCATTGAGCCAAAAGTCACAAAACATGCTCAGTGAAGACTGACTAAACCTTGAAATCCTGGGAAAAAAGTGATAGTAATTTTTCCCGATTAATCAGCGATAATCAGCTTTGCAGAGAAGGAACACTGGGAATTGTCCCTCTTTTAAACAGAGCATCTGTTTGAAATTTATACAATATTTTGGCTTTCCTTCAAAAGCCAATTATTTGCCGAAGGATTCACTGTGCAGCCTGGAAGACACGAGAAGCTTATCTTGTAATGAGATGCCAGAATGCCAAGCAGAAGCTAATCTTCAACATGTTTTGCAGTAATTGGATCGACAAAATTGCTATTGACCCGGCTACAATTCAAGAGAAACGCCTCTTCCAGTAAACTGTTTATCACTGCGCTCAAAACATATCATTCGAGGAGCTGTGGCTAATCGGTGGATGCTCCATCCAGCCTTGTTAACATTCATGTGGGGAGTACTGAAGGGCAAAAGGGGGAAAGGGGAGGTATGGGAGAAAGGGAACAAACAAGAGAGAAGGTTGTGGTGGGACAGTTCCTTTGAGGCTGACAGAATGGTCACTATCAACGAGCTAAGGAGGAGGCACTACCATCACAGTGACAGTTCAGTGACGTGGACGCGATCTCTCACCTGTTTACTCCTGGGGTGCAAAGGGATCTGAAGCAGTCTGTCTGCAGTGTGGTGCAGAAAGTGGGGGTCCAGCACTCTGATATTATTAACGTCACCCAACCAGATTTGGGGAGGGGGCTTCCAGAAGCCTTTCCTGACCTGGGAAGTACACAAAAACATTAAGAAAGATAAGACACAGGATGTTGTGAAACTGAAATGAACAAAAGGACAGAAAGGGGAGTAAAAGATTGCTATTTTTAGTTAGCACACAGAGTTCATTTGCACAAACAGAGATGCAATTGAGCCTATGACTCCCCCATGTCTGGAGGCGACCGAATCGATGTGCAAATTAGAAGGTAATGACCCTGCAACTATTAGCACAAGAAGGCCGGAGGTGCCGGGAGCAGCAGAGTGAAGGATGCCTGCGATGGAAACTGCATTTAAGTCTGAAGGGCACCAGCATCACTGAAGTCGAACCTTTTAAGTATTTGTTCCTGATATGGATGGCTGGCAAGGGCTGGAAAAGAAGCTAAATGGAGAGTGTTTATGTGAGGCTTAGTGGGAGAGAAAGAAAGTTAGAGAGAGTGAGATGGAAAGAGTGTGTGTTTGTGTGAGAGAGAGTGCATTCTCACACATATCCTGTACCCTCTTCTCGTTATAGAGGATCTCTTTGAGCCAGCGGAGGTCTTGCTGCTTAAAAGGCACCAGGACCATAAGCGTGCCGGGCTCGTTGTGCAGTGCAGGGTTGTAAGAGGCTGACTCGGGGTAGAAGAACCTCATGGTGGTCTTGTTCCCCACATCCTCCTCATAGCCTCTCACTGGGGCATCATTCAACCTGAGGCAGGGAGAGGACACAAGACTTTTCAGGTTTGTTTAATTTTCACTGTTATTTTCATTTTTGCAATCATTCATCCAGAAATTGGGATTTATTTTTAAATCAGTATTATTTCATCGTGATCTTCGAAATGCTTTTGAGCATGAAAGGCAACATTTTCAACCTGGATGCTCATATTTGTGTCTACTCTTTCTCACCTTGCATTCGCCACCTCTCTCAGAGAGTTGGGAAACGCAACTCTGGCTCACACATTTGTCACTGAGTCCAACCAAAAATATACAAAGAAATAGAGGGCCGAAGTGAAACCGCAACTTTCGGGTTTTGTTTCGGAAGTTTCAGAAAACCTAATTCAAAATCCCACTAACATTTGAAATAACACACATTGCTAAAAATACAACTTTGGAATAAACCCTACGCAGTATATTGTGTTGTACGCTCAATACAATACAGATATATAGTTGTTTACTCAACACTCCTGTTTTTAGTGGTCTTTAAAGGACACTGATTCCCATAAGCCCACAAACTACCACAGGCTGAAGTCAACAGTTTGACAAAAGAGGCAAGTCAGAAGGTGAAGAAGTGTATAGCTGGCGGAGACTAAATATTATAGATATGGATGGAATACAAAGTTACAACGATGTAGCCATTTTCATGGAGCTGTAGGTTTTACATGCTAACAAAGTAACTGTTGCCGTAGGATATTGAGATTAAAATTCCAGGAGCATGCTTCCGAGATGCTGATGAAAGAAATACTCCATGAGAGACTGCAGAGGAGTTACAGAAGCTAGTAAAACAGAGGCAAGACCATGACGTCAGGACTTCGACTCCAAGCTACAAGGAGTTCTATCGCCTAACCAACCTAGCAGTTTGGTTAGCCAATTAGCATGCTGTCTATCTGAAGTAATAACCAGGCCCCCCAGGAAGCACAGTGAACTTTGAAGCCAATTTGACATAGTGGACAAACTGTGTAACTACAACTTCTGGATCCATCAGGTGATGGACTCCCACACGGTCTGACCAGGCAAACGCCTGTCTGATGAAAGTTTAGTCACTAATACCTTGCAAGAGCATTAAAATCATTATTTTTGCAAGTTAGACAGTGTGCGGGAGTCTTTTCTACAAGTTTATTCTTCTCGTCCCTCTCCTACGCACTTGTTTGAAAATAGATGTGCGAAGTATTCCTTCACCATAGAGATTTGATCCATTTGTTCGGATAATATTTCTAAAGATTAGAAGAGCCACACAATTAAATATATTATATATATATTATTATACTAAGGGGCTAAAGTGGGCTCTTGAGAGGCCACTATGTTTGAATAGTTTTTGTTTTATTGTGGATTCTTGTATTATATGTTGTATTTGTTGCATGTTAAATGTGTTTTGATTGGCTGCTACCTTGGCCAGGTTTCTCTTACAAAAGATTTTCAATCTCAATGGGACTTCCTGGTTAAATAAAGGTTAAATAAATTATTATTATTTTTTTTTTTTAAACGGAAGTGGCCAGCCTGGCCGGCGAAAAAGTCTCCAGTGTGCTTGTTCTATGGGTTCAACAATGTGAAAGATACAGGTAATTTTACACCATTGAAGTCAAACTTTTTTGGCTTCACCACAACTGAGCAACTTTCAAAGGAATGAACAGGGCCCCACCTCCAATGCTGTATCCAGTTTTCTGTATTCATTACTTTTAATGACAGACATTTATTGTGCTTTCACATGATTCCTCTAACACTGTAAGAGGTATAAAAACATCCTTGTCACTGTGACCTGATTCCCCAGCCAGATGATTCATACAGTCTCTTCAGTTAATGTTTGTTCTAAGGAATCATGTTAATCCAAATTAAATATTGTTAAGGTGGCCTCTTGATCTAGGGTTTATACTTGATTAACAACCAGGATACTTTTATATTCAGGTTCTTCTTTTCCCTCTAGATATGTCCTGTCACTTTCCAGAGCTGACTCTCTAAAAAAGGGAGAGTTACCTGCAAATAGGATAACTAACTCACATTAGAGCGTTGTAACACATCTTCTAAAAACACACATCAAAACTCATTCTTTGATCCAATAATTAACACAGACTGACACCTTGTTTGGTTAAATGATTAGTTTGCACTTGGGAACTTAACTCTCAACAGGCTTTAACAGAATCTAGCCGTGTTTCTATGACAGAATAGGCCTGATGACGTCAAACTCTCAGGCATGCATTGAATTCTGAATGTCAATAACCTTACTCCACTTGGCCAGGGAACGATTAGGAAAGGGCGAGATGTGAGTCAGGGGGGAGGAGGGACTGATGGGGGAGAAAAATGCATTGTGGCCAGGCCAAATTCTGGCTGTTTGAAAGAGGCTTATAAAAACTCAGAATGCATGTGTTCATTCCAAGGCTGTAAAGTCAGATTTGCAGAGTGCCTTTGTCCTTAAGTAAACTAAACGCATTCTTTTCTCCTTTGAAAGAACTGAGGAAAAGTTTTGCTAATTGCCGAGAGGGCGGCTCGATGTCAGGGTCAGACGGTCACACAGTCGGATACTGTCCGTCATTAGTCAACAGCCAAGCAAATTTATATCCCGCTTTCAGTGGCAGGGAAAATCACCGCATTCCCTTTTTAAGGTCATCTAGCAAGGATCCTTCTGTTCCTAATTTATCAGTCCTAACCATCCTGAAACATGATGGTAGTTATGAAGAGGCCTTAGGTTAAGAAATTGTTGTATTTGTAAGACATGAAATTATAGTACAGTCACCTCCTAAAAATGCAGCTTGGAGTGGAAACAAAAGGCAAAACAGCAAGTTTACAAAAATTGTATGTTTTACCCTAATTCATCTTCTTCTCCGTGATCAGCATGCCAAGTAACAACAATAACTGAATATGACAGTACTAGCAACAATACTTCTCTGAGGTTTCCTCCATTGTACTTACCGAATGACCACATCATATTTGTTGATGATGCCTCCCAACGAGCTGTTTTTAATGGCAAAGCCGTTGCCTATGACTACACAGGTTCTGCATTCCAGGCTGCGGAGAAGAACACCACAGACAAACATGAGTGTTTTGTACAATGAGGAGAAAAAAAATGTCACCCTAACTGAAAACATATTCATCAATGCAAAAGCACCCGAGGGTCTTCGCTTGACCATAATGAGGGACAGTTATGTGGCTAAGCACTAACAGCTACCATAAGTACCCATAATCAGTGATGAAGTCATGCAGAACTGAAAGCGTATTACAGGATGTGTACCACAGCTGGAAAACATCTTCAACCAATCAATGTTGAAAATATTCCAGTTGTATAGCATCAATTATTAAATATGTGTTGGTGCCAATTCTGGACTTATAGTATAGTAGTCATAATTATCACTGTACTGCACTACGGACTTAAATCAGTAGAGAGGTCCTAGGTTAAAGAAGTATTTTACTACTGGGTAGGTGGTCTTTTCATAACACTAGGGTGCCTTCGCAGTAGAAATATGCAAATGCTTTTGAGATTGATGCTATATGATCAAAGAAAACAGAGAAAAGGGACTGTGGTATTTGGTTTTGCACAAGAGGTAGAAAATCTGCAACTACCAGAAAGCATTGTGCCGCACCAGACCAATAAACGGTCCTGCAGGTAAGTGACATGAGGCGAATTTGTGAATTTGACACAATGGCAACCGGCTGGTTATAAACAGTCTCATGTTTTTGAAAACAAGTGAGAAATAGGCAACACAGTAACAGAATTTTGGTTTGTATTTGATCAGCACTGTTTAGTTTTACCGCCCTTTTTTTTTTATCCCTCGTTTCACAATACAGGAAACAGTATGGCATCCACTTCCTGTTCACAGACTCTCTCATTACACCTTAACAGGGCACTAAAATATGTTTCCAATGACATTTTTGGTGAGAAATAGGAAGCGCAGTGACATAATGTTGATTCATATTTAAGCTCGTTTTGCCGGATTACGCGTTTTGCGTCATCAGTGTCATGTTCCAAGTTTCGCAATGAGGGAAGTAGGGAGATCTGGGCTCTGGTTACAAGACGGGTGGTTTACCACAGTTCATTCACACATACCCCCCACATTGTTATGACACCAATCTGGTTAAAAAACTGAAGTATCCCTTCAATAAAATGTTGAGCTTTAGCATCATAAACCAGGTTGGCTGAAGTGTGCTGACACTTACTTTTCAATGCTGGCTGGCACCTGGTAATTTGCAATTACAGCAAGAACTTTTAGTAGCAGCAGCTCTGGAAGGGAAAGAGAGAAAGGTTTGAATAGAGAAGTGCAACTCACATAAAAGTCTGTTGTTTTGTTCTTCAGAGCTAAAGATCATAAATCCTAAATCTAATTACAACAGATACACGGTTGAAGTCACAGAAGAACTTTGTGTTTATGGCAGTAAAGCATCACTGTCAGGTCTGGTCTTTAATTCAGTCACACCATATATAGATTTATTTTTAAGTTCTGTGAACGTGACATGTTAAGATAAGTGAATATATGCATAAAAAGTAGACACCTTTATAAAATAACCAGTAATACCAGCATGTGCTGAGTAAACTGAGCAGAATAAGCCGGGGATAATTGTAAAGTCAACATACCACTGCCCTTAATGCCATAAGGTAATGCCAGCTTTGACAGATGCTCCCGCCAGAAGAAATCCTCCAGTTTCAGGAAGAGCTGCGTCTGTCGGCTAATGCTGCGTGAAAAATGTCAGAGCAGGAATTACAACACAATACTGCAGTGCACAGGCTTTCACTGTATAGATGAGTTATATTACAGGAGGGTTTGCGGCTGGGAGAGAAGGGAGGATATGAATGAGGCGTAAGACAGCGAGGATGGAGGAAAACTAAAAAAAATCTGGCTATAACAACTATCAAACCACACAATGGACAACACTGACAGTGCTGCCAAACAGCGCAGTGTTCATATTGGCACATGGAGAGGCCTGCCTTAGCTTTCCCAAATGTTCTGGTATCTATTAAGCAGGTAAACTAGACTCATTATAAGTAAACCAGCCCTTTTCATGATGTCATCCAATAGCAATTTCCCTCATTAAAAGCCCCTGTTGGCATCTCTCTGCTAAGGAGAGAGGAAAGAAACAATAACATTCACAGAGCCTGTGGAGTGAGACAAATGTGGCAGGTTGTAATATGTGAAACAGTTGCTTTTCTGTGTTCGCTGGCTTCAGACTCCAGCTGTTTATGACCTACTGTCTTTGACAGTGAGTCTCTCAGGCATTTATTACCCTCGTGTGCCAGCTAGCTCGTCGCAGGAGATCAGGATAAATCTCCAGGGAGGGGTCTAATTAGAGAAATGTCACTCTGATTGCCTGGAAGGCCTCCCTGTGACTGTAATGACTGATGGGAAAGCCCAAGAACAACCAGCCGGCAGCTTTATGTGAGAATGCAAATCATGTTGTTTAACAAGGGTTAAGCGCAGGCATTATGAATCTTAAAAGGTCAAAGGGCGGGCAGTGGACGGTCCACTGAGTTGAAGAAATAAACAGTGACCTTGGAGGAGGCTGGGACAAACCACAGATGGATACCATATCGCTATTTTGTAACAGAACAGATCCCACAAAAGGACTAACAGTAAATATACAGCTGAATAAACTGATAATAGAGCGAGAGAAAATAAATGAGAGGGGGCTCAGGGCTGTGGAACATTGATTACTTAACAAGGCAGAACCTGAGGAGGACAAACAAGCTGTCGTCTGGCCTCCAAAAATCCAACTTTATCAAGAGCTCATTCTTAGCCGACATTGGGTTTTATATTAACTCTCCCTCTCACCCATTTCATCAGCACATTCCACATGAGTTACTGAAACTTACATGATTTAGATGGAAAATCAGTTTTCGTAATAAGTCCTGTTCTTTCTCACTGAAACATGCTTTTCCTCCATGACTGGTAAAGACCAGTCTTAACAGAGCCTGGCACCTTATGTTCAAATAAAAAAGCTGGCATACCTTCCTCCCTTAATAAACCATCCACTCCCTCAAGTTCATATATATATATATATATATATATATATATAAACAAAAAAAAACAGGCATGCCATTACTCACTTAAAGTTAAGACTCTCCCACTTCTTCTGGGTTAGCCAACCACCACACAGCGACTTGCTACTGTTCGGAGACTTGCTGGTGCCTCCGTAGCTGAAAGACAGACAATCAGCACAACTGGCATGAGAGTTACTGCTGAATCCATAAAAACACAGCGTGCCAGTAACTGGATCCAGAACACTCAGAAAGTGCAAGAATGGGCATGTGCGCAGGCCTAAATTGACCAGCAGCTCAGACCGCCGGATGATCAGAATCTGGGTTTGTCCTCTCGACTTTTAGTGACTCAGCACTGCACAAACCTCACAAGTTTATTTCTTACCAGAAATTTCTGTAATTGTGTGACCTCAATACCGAGAGCAACCGAGAGAGGAAGAAATGGTTGTGTTAGCGTGTGTGTAATTACCTCTGAAGTATGGCATAGGAGCAGTAGTATGTGACAAAGGAGATGAAGAAGAGGAGGATTGGGAGAAGCCTAAGGCACCATGCTGGAGTCAAAGATGACAAAAACAAAGGCAGAGGAACAAGAATTTAAAATACACACACATAATACATGCTGGCTTCAATCTTCACATTAAAAGAGATATTTCATCTATGTTGTGGCGACTGATGTACAAGGTGCTGCAGTGAATGACCCCATGACAGAAAATAACTGACTCCATTGAATGATGAAGTGTACTTTTAGCCAACGACAAATAAAAGCTTTTAAAAAAAGGCAGTGTTCAACAGTTGGCTTCCCCCTTAACACAGGTGTTGTATCGGTACTAGAATGGATACTGAAAAATGACACTGAAATGAATACTAATGAATTTCTAGCAAGTGCCACTTGCTATTTAGAGATAACTGCAGAGGTCCATGCGAAACACTCTATCTATTTCAGTCTCTTATTTATTAGCAGAGACTGAAACTCACAAATGTGGGAGAAACTGTCTGTATCCAAACGTATTACTTATTCAGTAAGACCTAAAAGTGTTCTTCTTAAAATCCCGGTCACATTTAAAGAACATGTACATATTAAGTGTCACATACTCGAGTGAAATTTGGAAAAATTGGTGAGCTTGATTTAAAGGTCCAGTGTTTAGGTTTTAGGGGGATATACTGGCAGAGATGGAATAATATAATAAATGTGTTTTCTTTAGTGTGTAATTGTCTGGAAATAAGAATAGCTGTGTTTTTGTTTCCTTAGAATGAGCATTTATATCTACACAGGGAGCAGGCCCTCGTCTGCCGAGATCACCATGTTGCACCGCCACGTTTCTGCAGTAGACAAACTGACAAACACTGGCTCTAGATAGGGCCATTCGCATTTTAACATTTTCGAGTTGGCCACCAGAGTAAGAAGTCCCTCTATGACAAGCAGCGTCCAGAAACTACAGATTTTTTTTAACATGAAACTGCTTTATTTAGAGTTTTTACTGGTTTATTTTGTTTTGGAAACTTCTGCGGATCATTCAACATCTGGCTCTTAACTTATTAGAGAAAACAGTCAAGCACATAGCAGCTGATGGGCGAGCTGCCTGTCTATGACGTGCCAAACAGCATAGAATAAACACAGATTTGTAATATGAAACTGCTTTATTAAGTGTTTTTACCAGTTTTAATCAGGAGGTTCGTTTGTTTTGGAGAGGAAGAGACCTCTGTGGATAATTTGGGCTCCCGGTAAAAACCTCCTGAACAATGAATACTGACAGAATTCTAACCAGGAGCGGATTTAGTGGGTTGCAAGTGAGTGCGTGAGTGCATGAGGTAAGGAGTCCTCCATGAATTCATATCTACAGTACAGGCCAAAAGTTTGGACACACCTTCTCATTCAATGCGTTTTCTTTATTTTCATGACTATTTACATTGTAGATTCTCACTGAAGGCATCAAAACTATGAATGAACACATGTGGAGTTATGTACTTAACAAAAAAAGGTGAAATAACTGAAAACATGTTTTATATTCTAGTTTCTTCAAAATAGCCACCCTTTGCTCTGATTACTGCTCTGCACACTCTTGGCATTCTCTCCATGAGCTTCAAGAGGTAGTCACCTGAAATGGTTTCCACTTCACAGGTGTGCCTTATCAGGGTTAATTAGTGGAATTTCTTGCTTTATCAGTGGGGTTGGGACCATCAGTTGTGTTGTGCAGAAGTCAGGTTAATACACAGCCGACAGCCCTATTGGACAACTGTTAAAATTCATATTATGGCAAGAACCAATCAGCTAACTAAAGAAAAACGAGTGGCCATCATTACTTTAAGAAATGAAGGTCAGTCAGTCCGGAAAATTGCAAAAACTTTAAATGTTTCCCCAAGTGGAGTCGCAAAAACCATCAAGCGCTACAACGAAACTGGCACACATGAGGACCGACCCAGGAAAGGAAGACCAAGAGTCACCTCTGCTTCTGAGGATAAGTTCATCCGAGTCACCAGCCTCAGAAATTGCAAGTTAACAGCAGCTCAGATCAGAGACCAGATGAATGCCACACAGAGTTCTAGCAGCAGACCCATCTCTAGAACAACTGTTAAGAGGAGACTGCGCCAATCAGGCCTTCATGGTCAAATAGCTGCTAGGAAACCACTGCTAAGGAGAGGCAACAAGCAGAAGAGATTTGTTTGGGCCAAGAAACACAAGGAATGGACATTAGACCAGTGGAAATCTGTGCTTTGGTCTGATGAGTCCAAATTTGAGATCTTTGGTTCCAACCGCCGTGTCTTTGTGAGACGCAGAAAAGGTGAACGGATGGATTCCAGATGCCTGGTTCCCACTGTGAAGCATGGAGGAGGAGGTGTGATGGTGTGGGGGTGTTTTGCTGGTGACACTGTTGGGGATTTATTCAAAATTGAAGGCACACTGAGCCAGCATAGCTACCACAGCATCCTGCAGCGACATGCCATCCCATCCGGTTTGCGTTTAGTTGGACGATCATTTATTTTTCAACAGGACAATGACCCCAAACACACCTCCAGGCTGTGTAAGTGCTATTTGACCAAGAAGGAGAGTGATGGAGTGCTGCGGCAGATGACCTGGCCTCCACAGTCACCGGACCTGAACCCAATCTAGATGGTTTGGGGTGAGCTGGACCGCAGAGTGAAGGCAAAGGGGCCAACAAGTGCTAAACACCTCTGGGAACTCCTTCAAGACTGTTGGAAAACCATTTCAGGTGACTACCTCTTGAAGCTCATGGAGAGAATGCCAAGAGTGTGCAAAGCAGTAATCAGAGCAAAGGGTGGCTATTTTGAAGAAACTAGAATATAAAACATGTTTTCAGTTATTTCACCTTTTTTTGTTAAGTACATAACTCCACATGTGTTCATTCATAGTTTTGATGCCTTCAGTGAGAATCTACAATGTAAATAGTCATGAAAATAAAGAAAACGCATTGAATGAGAAGGTGTGTCCAAACTTTTGGCCTGTACTGTATGTGCAATGAATTAATGTTCCATTCTTCCCATCGACAACAGGACAGCAAGAGAGATATCACAGTTTTTTAGGGAGGATACATACACAATTTAACCTTTTTGGAAATATGCATATTGGCTTTCTTTCCAAGAGTTAGATGAGAAGACTGATACCACTTTCATATGTGCACGCTGCATAGGAAGCTACAGCCATTTGCTGGTTAGCCTGGTTAGCCAAGACTGGAAGACGGGGGAAACAGCTGGCCTAGAGCCAACCCAAGGTAACAATAGTTTAATCCAACCAAAAACAAAGTGTAAAAACAAAAGTTGCAGTATTACAGGAGGTTCTTGAGCTTTGTCTTGGCCGGGTAAATTGACTTCCTGGAGTCTCTACTGGTTGCAAGCTTATGCTGCTCTCACTGACATAACAACCACATAGGTTAGGCATGTCCAAAGTCTGGCCCAGGGAGCAATTGTGGCCCCTGGACCTGTTTTAAATGGTCCGTGGCTTGTCATTCAAAATATACTATATGTGGACGGCCACACAAATTGGGTTAATCAAGCAAGATCACTTTGCATATTTTCTGTTCACCTCATGATTGCAGGGCTATCATACAGTTTTCAGACATGTACCAAATAGGAACTTTACAGGTGAAATTAACATGATTTTATAAACAGATGGAAAACAAGCATACAACAAAGATTAACTGCTAGGTAGTGGGCATGGCCACGGCAAGTCGACAGCACGGGCCGCAACTTTCAGGAGTGGTGAGTTGTATAATTTTGCATTGAAAGATATAACAGTTACATTATCTCATTTGTATGTGACTGTTTTAATAACCCATATGATGCCAGAAGCAGCTGGCGACACAGGTATTTTCACATTTTCTAATCTGGCCCCAATTCAAAAAGCTCTGACATAGGCTGACTTGAAAACCAGCTTATTATTATGTTGATTGTTAGGCAGCACCCTCTAGTGGTTGTAGTAATTACAGAAGCAGTGGAACAAGTGAGGTAATGTAGCATAAGTCCGCATAATTTTGTACAAATATTAAAGAAGCCCCTAAAGGGTGGGTGGATTAATCACACATCTGACTTTTACCCCGGATGCCGGTGTCACACCCAAAGTCAACACTGACTTGTTTTAATAAAAACGTAGCTTAGAATGCTAGAACATGGACTTGCACTTGTATAGGGCCTCTCCAGTCTTCTGACCACTCAAAGTGCTTTTACAGCCTATAGCGTACCAAGTACCAAGAATGCACTGTAATTAAGACTGGCATCCAGTGACAAACCACACTGCAAGCACTCAATGGCATGACAAAATGCAACAACTTTCAAATGCAACTGCAGCTCTTTTGTTGTAAATAAATCTTGGCAGAGGCTCATTGTTGACGGGCAATATCCCTCCTTTAATTTAAAGGGAAGAAAATCTACAGAGCTTAGTGTTTTCTCACAACATCTGGAGTAAACAACACTAAATGTTGTGTGGCGAGAGGCACAGCAACAAGACTGCTGTTGCAAACTGTCAATAGTTATCACTGTGGAACATGCAGTGTCATTATACACTGACGGTTGTGGATTATTTCAACGTGTTACCTCAAGTCTTAACAAATAACCCAATGAAATAAACTAGCAGTGGTTATAATGGTAAAAAATGTAGTCATTAATGTGTGACAAAGTGTATTCTGGTCCATAAACCCTCTCATTGCATGTTAAAATAACACACAGTGCTTTACTAAATATCCAAAGAGGGAAAAGTCCCATTCAAGTAATCTGACCAAAACAACAACATCTGGTAAAAAAAACACAAAACACCCAAAGCAAAAGAACTTACTTTTAGTTGCCTTCTGGGACATCTTCACGTGCTCCTTGGTCCTCTCATGTCTACACAGTGCATGAGGTTATCCTGGGTGATGGGTATAAGAAGCGGAAGGACCAAATGTATTAGCACCTCCTTCAACTGAAGAGCATTCTCACTTTCTGAGAGGATGGTGTAAAACAGGAACCACCGTAAAATGAATTTCAAAGCGGCTGATTGAGTCATAGCGGGCATCCCACACCCACAACCTCATGCACACACATACAAATGAGCTGTACTGCCTAGGCTAAAGCTAAGAAAGGGTTGGAGTATATGGGAGTGGCAGAGAAACAAATCAATGCAAGGAAGCATTAACACAACAAGAGCACGTACAGACATGAGGAGGATAGAACAAGAGAGAGACAGAAAAGCTGAGGGCGAGAAGGGCAGCAGATGCAGGCCGATCACTTTAAGAGGATCATGCTGAACTGATAGACACTCGCTCCCTGCACTGAGGGATATATGAAATCCCAATGCATCACATCAGCACTGTGTGCTTGGTTGCTTCGGAGAGCTCAGATTACAGCTAAAACCAGATTTAAAAGGCATGTTGTGTTACACATATCTGACTATTTAATGCACAATGCACATTTTATCCGCAATCATCCTGATTCATGGTCTACACAGGAGGGCCAGAGCCGTCCACACTACCAAATGGTTGTACTAAACACGCCTGGCACTGCTTCAGGGCTAGCTCATTGCTGAAAATCAATAGCAAAGTCAAGGAGTGCACAGCTGAATATCTATTTTGAGATGTGCATGAGTGCACATGCACTGGCTACATTGCAACAACAGTAATGTAATACTGCTGTAAATCTACCAGTAAATCATGCACACCCCAACTTGGAGACAGCGAGGGAGCGGAAACCACATGATCGATTAACACCACCACAGGGGCACTCTGCAGATTTTAACACAAGCCCCTCCCTGTAAACCCAAACTGTCATTTCACAACATAAAACATGATATGATACTGCTGCCTCCTGAATCAGAGGGCAGTGTCTGAGTTGCAGTGAAGTGGCTGTGTTTCCATCCTGTGCAGGATATTAGGCTGGGCCGTGTGTGTTTCCTAAGTTATTGTTTAGGAAATGATGAAAACACCAAAGAATGTCTCGAGGACCAAACTTCAAACGAATCTTTTTCTTTTAAGAAACAAGCAAGATGAGTTTTTTTTTTCCCCCTCAGCTCTGTTGTGCTTTAATGAGGTGGCACAGGATCCAACTGTTCTCTGCCTGTGTTCAATGTAGAGCTGAACAGTAGTGCCTAAATTAAGCTCATTAGTTGATTAAACCATAAGTCAATTTGTTGACATTTAATCAAGAAATCTGATAAGTGATTGTCTTTTTGAGCCATTTATTGAGCAAAAATGCTAAAACTGCTGGTCCCAGCATCTCAAATGTGAGAATATGCTGCTCCTCCCAGTCTAAAATGGTCATATTTCACGGTTGTTTTTTTACAGACTATATGCATCATTTAAAGAAAAAGTCATGAAACAACCTACGCTACGGCAGCTGATGGAGCAGCTCCAATCAGTACATATTCTTCAATGCACTTCATGATAATCAAGTGCCTAAATATTGCAAACAGATGCCTAAGTTTCCAAATAAAACATAAATGAGCATCTTGGGGAACTATGCAGTCACAAGTTACATAACAACAACAACAACAACAACAAAAAAAACCCCAACAATATTACAGGACATCTTACCTTTTCCCTCTTTCATTTCCGATGATTATCTCCTCAGTGGTACAGATGTAATGAGTCTGGGCTTCTCCCCTGAAGTGAAAGCACAAAATAATATCACAAATGAAAACTACAGGAGAATATCTGCACAACCATCTTAAAATGTATTGTTTTCTACTTGTCTTTGTACTAAAATAGCACCTGTCAGCTGAAAGTAGCTCCAATAGAGGAAACTCCGCGCATGCATGGCCGAGATATTTGTATAAAGGAACTCCGGTTTGTAACGAGGGTTCTGGGATGGATGCAGTAGGAATACAGATACATGCAAAAATACAGAAATGTCATTCTTGGTCTTGGATATGGGCTAGTATTTAATTATCTTCATTTTAGAGCACACAGCTACTGCTGGAATGATTACTATGGATTAATCAATTGATTAAAAGAGAATAAACATCTACAATTTTGATACTTTGAGAATAAAATGTAAGCATTTGCTGGGACTTGCACATTTAGTCGGACAAAACAAGTACTTTAAAGATGCCTGACTGGGCTCTGGGAAATTGTGATAGACATTTTTGGGATTTTCTGACACTGTAGCAAGTAAAACGAAAATTTAAAGTTTAAATTGATAATTTAAATGCTAAATATATGTATTACAAAAATAGTATCCGAGTATTTCTACATTATCTTTCTGTAAAACCAGTTAAAACAGTTCCAAATGTTTGATGACTCATCCAACACTCAGGGGCATTTACAAAAGTTCAACCAATCAGATGAGACTTTGTGCGACTAGCTAGCCGCACCAGTCATATCAAACCACACTTCACTGCTCGTGGGTTGTAACAGCTACGCGACAGAGCAATACAGTGAGAGATAAGGAGATGTGTTTGAATATTGGTGGAAAAAACGAAGGTAACAATATTGTAACCCTTGTTCTACTGGTGCAAGTGGAGCCCTCTACTGGATTCTATGGGTAACTCTCTCCAATCAAGAGCACACATTCACCCACTGAAATTTGCATTAACATAGTGGCCAATCAGGACGTCTCTAACCAAATATGTGCAGAGTCCTGAATATATAGGAGACACATTACATCAGCATCCCACTCACTGCATCAGCATCCTACACCCTCGGCAGTGCGGTACAGGAGCTATGGGGCCCATAGGCAGAGGGCCCCATCTGTGCTAACAGATGCCCACTATTGGACTCTATGAGTACAGTGGTTGGAGCCCAATGGATGAACACTCTGTCATGATACAACATCAACCCAGCCACATTGATCCTGACCAGCTTAAGGCTGGTCGCTATAGTCCACCAATGTCTTTCTCAGCTGCAGTGGCCTAGGAAGCCCCAGCCAACCCACTGTATGCCACCAAACTGGGTGAAGCCATGGCCTAACCTCTTGCAGAGGTTGAAAGACAGTGAGCGCCGTCGCTGATGAGAAAAAGGATGCTCAGTCCATCATACTGCCCAATACACTGTGGGCTCTTTATATATAGGTAGGCATGTCCTCAATGGCCAGCTATATTTATGCAGACTTCAGCGGGCGACTGTATGCTCATGATTGTAGGAGAGTATTACCCATAGAGTTCAATAGAGGGCGGAACCTTTGTGAGATTTTTTTTAACTTCCATAACAATGTGGCTAAGGTCTAATTTATTCATTTCTCCCTCAGTCTCCTCCTGATCAGACGCCAAGAGAGGTGTGTGTGATGTGAAGCCAACAGTCAGCTCAGCAGTAGACTGTGCTAGCTCTGTATTGTGCTAAACTCTAAACCCACCCATTTTTTAGTAGAGAAGCTAAAGACGCTCCGACTTCCACTTCACTGGGACTATTAAGATTATTTAACGCAAAAATAACTGACAGATTAATAACGAATGCTGAATAATTTGTTGCAGCCCAACATATAAGGCCCGACACTTGCATCAACATTCAATATAAAATACTATCACGTCCAGGCTCCTCACCCCCACCCTCCTGAGCATAATGTGAGTTACAACAGCTGGACATACTGTAGCTCTCACGAGCGTGACGCACAGGAGGCACAGTACCTCCTCACAGACACCACAGGCAACACAAGAGCGGAGCAGCACAATACCTGGCTGTGTGTGATATGATGCATGGAGGAAGAGGGGCGGATGGAGGGCTGGCTGGGAGAGCGGAGGGGGTCAAGCGGCGCGCTGTGCGATGCCGTAAGGCACGCTGGCTGGCTGACTGACACTGGCAACAGTCCTCAAGATGTGAGAAACCAACAGAGTCCTGTCAGAAATGCCCCTCACCACAGACGTACTTAAAGCACTGCTATAAGTCTAACCGTGGGTCACCAAAGAAATGCAGACGGACCACTTAAAGAGCTTAGTCACACACTGGAATGATTAAAGATGAGTCAGGAAGTAATTCCGGCAAAAGCACTGCCTGGGAAAATGTTGTCAGGGATTTACTGGTTACAGCTCCTTCCTCCCAAAGTCCTAAGGAAGGTGAGGGCTCACAAGGCTAATACTATAGGTACTTTGCATTAGTAGAAACATATGCTAATGTTCGCATTATCAAGCTAATTAATACAGATCACCATTAATTTAGAGATAGTGGCATTAATATGAGGCAGCATTATGCAATGGTAACAAACCATCATTATTATATTCACATTAATCAATATTACCGTTCAAATTGATGTATACATTCTGAGTTATTGTCAGGCATCACCATGACAGCATGTCCTTTGACCATGACTAATAGCTGAACAAACATTACAAGACCTGACAGATTGATAGTGAGATTTAATGGGTCAATTCTAAATGGGTACAGTCCTTGCAAACGCAGTCAGCACAGGCATAAATGCTGACTCAAAATGACCTTCTTCTCTAAACCCCTTTCACCTACCGGCTCATTCCTCTCCACCACAGACACACACTCTCCGAAGAAAATCACATGTGCGTTTCGCTCACAATAGAAAATCACCTCTTAAACGCATAATCCCAGAATTTAATCCAGTCAGAAGAGCTAAATCTGGTGCCCATTTTGTAACACTTTGGCCGCTTTTATGAAGAAAAGCTTTCAAAGACACTGCAGGCAGTCATGGTGAGGGCAATTTTGATCCTGGGATGTGGCTTTTCTCCAATATCCTGATCCTCTTTGTCAACTTCAACATTCCCAGATTTCAGACGAGTATTATTCGTTATCCATACTGAAGGATTTTGTCATGAATCTACATCTCTGACCAATTCCATATACAGACAAAGAATTTGCTAAAGCTAAAGGACCCCTTTATTACTCTTAATTACTCAACATGTCTTCTCAGTGTTGCCTGACATCGCAGTTTGTTTAACTTTGCTCCAGACCACTCTTAAAACCTTGCCAAAACTAGTATACTGGCATGGCTACACATCAGTGTGGATTTAAAATGATGCTGGATTAAAATGGATGCATAGGTCTTTAGTAATTGGTTGGGGAAAACTGAATCCACCTACTCCATGGAAATTATTGGATGCAGACTAAAGATGGAAATGGAGTGTAATGAGTTGAATATTTTGTCTGATATCTGGCAACACCATTCCTGCTATCCTGAACATGCACAGGCCTTCAGTGATCATAACCAGGCAGTAGTTGTACCCCAGGTGTTACTTGTGCAGCTGCCAAGCGGTACATGGAAAGACTTTGTGGAACTAGTTAGCAAGCGAGCAGTCTCAGCTGTCTAAACAGTTGGCTACAAGAACAATAATGGGTGAAGTAGTTAGTTAAATGTAATGAGTAAACAGCTCCAATAAAAAGCAGCTTCTGCCACGCAGCACGAATGCAACCTTGACCGAACCAAACCAAACACTGACAGCCCACTTGTGTGAAAAATACTGTCACAATGTCAGCTTTCATATAATTAATAGTGTTGGGTAACATCCAGTTTGTAATCAAATTAAATGAACACATTTGGAACCTGAGCGCTGGTGTGGATGAAGTGGTACTTGAGCCTCACAGGGCTGTGCATACATCAGACAAAAAAGGTTGAGAACCGCAGCACCAACGCACTGAGGTCAATAAACACTGACTTCCATATTCACCGTTAACCTGTGGTTTCATTTTGTTGCCTCACTTTTGCATTAACCGACTTGTGGCAATTTAGGTAAGTCTTTGTTTTTATTCTTCCATTCTTGTTTGTATCAAAATTAAATGTGTTTCAGAGGTTTTTAAGTTTTAAATTTCAAACAAATGTGCAATTTGTTTGACTTACAACCACGATACATTGCCATACAGAAACAAAACGTCAACTGAAATGTGATTACACAGCATTATAATATTTGGATTCCTCTATTGCTCAATATGATTGCCTCACAACATATGGAAACAGTTAAAGGGTAATATTTCATAATCGTAACTCCACCAAAGCTATAGAGAAATATTTCTGCTTACTACTGCAAGACTACATGTTAGAAGACATCTTCCATAGTCAAGCTTTCTTTGCCAGCAGCAAATGATTCATACTTTTTAAATCGTCTTAATGATGACAACAGGGCACTCTTCCTGATGTTAGAATGAAATGAATTATGGGTCTTCCTATTTTTATATGGCACTGAAGAAATTAGGTGAAATAAGTAGTCTCTGAAATAGAAACAGACATGATATTATTTTGGTATTATAGTCAGTGCCTTAGCTGTATAGCTGTAAATCTAATAGTATACTGTGTGTGTGTGTGCCCGCACACTTCCAGGCAAACACGCTCCTTGGTGACTCAGCATGTTCATCCGCCCACTACTTTGGAAATCAGTCTGGTCTTAATTAGCTCTATGGAAGGGAGGGTTGCTCTGTTGCATTTTGGCAGCAGCTGACCGTTTCCAGTTGGTCATCGCAGATTGTTCCCACACTGACATACTGAACCAAGGTTACACATCTCTGGGCTCCATGGTCCTTCCCCTCCGCAATCGACCGCTGATTGTGTCGCATCTGCTGCTAATTGTTTGCATGTATTATCTGGAACAAGGATTCCAAAACCAAGGAACTGTCTTATCAATAAAAAACATCTGAATATAACTTCATCTTTTAACTTGGAAGTCAGTGACTAAACTCTGGAAGGCTTTATCAGAAAGCCTCATTTCTTTTATAGCATTGACCTTAGGATGGTGTGCAGTGTTTGGGAGGATGATCCGGGAGGTCTAACCTGGGTGTAGGACAGTAAAACGTCATAACGATGCTTTTATTTCCCTAATGACTGTAATGACCTTTCCATTCAGATAATGACTTACAGCAGAGGTACAAGTGAAGAAAGAGAAACTTCTAATAGGATAGCCATTTATGTCAGATATTTTAAGGGACAGGCCTTTACCGTCTGAGAAGGCTGCCTGGTGGTAACGTAAAGGGGTGAAAATATTCTATATATAGCAAACACTTGATGCTGCAGAACTGAAGCTTCACCCATGTGCCAAGCGTGTGGGAAGACTGCAGTGGCCAACTTAAACACGCGAATGGCCTGTCTAGAGCTTGTGTGCGATTTGTCTGTTTGGGGCCACTGTCAAACAACATGGTGGACTCAGTATTAAGATATAAACTGCTCATTCTAAGGTAACAAAAACACAACAGTTCTTAGTTTCGGGTGATTATAAACCAATGAAAGCATAGTAACAATATTATGTGTCATTTTTTGCCCTTAAGTCCTGAACACTGGACCTTTAAGGCCAGATTAACCCATTTAAGGGCCTTAGGGCAGAAAAGGGCTGTGCGTCCTATTGAAAGCTCCCATCACCAACTGTACGCATTGTGTGTGCCTCTTGTGCCCTTCAAGTAAAAAAATCAGAAGATTTGACACATGACTACACTTAAATAATAAAGGCATTAGAGCCGGATCCTCCAACAAGAAAGGGTGATGACGCAGGATTGGGTTAAAGGCCCTTGCAATCATTGAAATGACAATACATACAGTGAACCATAGGCCCCAGATTTTTAGAAGTTGCAACTAGCTTTTCATATTTCTTGTCTCTTATTGTCCTAAATACAAATCTCGATAACAATAAGACGTTTTTAATTTGTTACATCCATGAGACACAGCAGTGACCAGTTCACCAGAGCATGATTACATTTGGCGGATGTTTTCAGGGCACATGTGTGTTCATCAGATTTTAAAGGCCGGATTGATTGTTCCAAGCGAGGTTGAGTCATCACTGCGAAGGGGATATGATGGGGTTTCATCTGATTTGCTACAAGTTGCCATGTGCTTCATATCTCTAAGCCCCATTAAATGCAACATCTGTGCAAAAGAAAAAAATCTCTCTCCTGTAGCTGCTGCTTCAGTGAGCAAATACAACAGCCTAAAAATAGAGTAGTAATTTGTAAAAGGAACAAATTCAATGTCTGTTCATTTACCTACCAAGATAGCAAAAGCTGTTTATTGAAAACTGAGTGACGGCAAAAAAGGCTGTCATTTAAAGATCTACTTTAAATTACATTTCCACAGCAGTCGCAGTTTATATATTGGGAAAATGTCACTGAAACGTTTTATACCTGTCGTGTTTTCTACAATGAGATACATTTAATCAATATGCATAAGTTGTTATGCTGTCCACAAGCACATACTCTACATTCAAATTCAGTCCAAAACAGCAACTGTAACCTAGGTGTATTACATACTGGACAGATGTTACTTTCTATCCACCCCCTTTCTCACTCCAGCCCTCCTCTCTCCCTCTGTAATCTGTCAAGGTTGGACTTCCAAGGTGATCTGCAGAAAACTGTATTCTATCCCTACAAAGGGTTGACTGCCAGCTTCAGGTGGGATTACAAGGCAGACGAGAGGCCCTTCAAGGACACAGTAATGAAAGACTGCATGTTATGTGAATATGCATCACAGTAACATGTGTAAAATGGATTTAATCCGCTCCTTTTAGCCCCATTAAGATACATGGTCTCAGATTTGTTAGCATGAATAATATAAACGTTTGATTTCTTTTGTTTGATATTTTAGGACACGTGAACACCTGAGCAGAGATGCAGGCCTTTCATGTTTTTAAAGTCTAAAAAACAAAAAAAGAAGCATGGAAACGAATAATGTGCATCGCAAGATCATCTTAGTTCATATGATAAGGATGAAAAAGTTTGCATTTTTTGCGTTTTATATATTAGTTTCTTTTTCCTCACATCTGTCTTTCTTGTATTTCTGCACTGCAACGGAGATGGCAGCTGACCTTCAGCGAGAGGTGTGCTGGAGAGACAGGCTGAGCCACAGAGCAAAGACTAGCGGAGTAGGTATCAGCTTGATATTAGAAGTGTGAAATCACATGAAATGATAACAAATATTTGATTAGATATGTTTCAGAAATAACTTAAGGCATGTATTTTTGTTTTAGCATTATGCAATCGTTTGTTAACCCGTGTTATCATTTACTTTTTGGAAATGCTCGCTATGTTTTAATGAAAGCAAAGGTTTTCTTGAACGTTAATTACACATAGAGAACAGTATAATAAAGGTTATATCAATAAAGAAAATGTCATGAAAAGATCTGGTTTCTTTTAGCTAATTAATGTAACATTTTCAGTATATCAATATCAGCCACGCTGAATGTGACTAACAACTGAACATCTGATATTTATTCAACATTAAACATAACAAGCACTTTTTATTTGGTTTCAGCGTCAGGCACTGATGTAGATTAAACATTTCTGTCTGTTAATATTTCACTCATACAATCATATTTTGATATCTAGGTATCGGGCCTATCGATTTCTTTCAGATAGATGGTACCAACCATACAATCACCCTGACATTCATTTGCAAGCTAGAGTTGTACCAACCAAACTTAAATTGAACAGAACCCAACAAGAAACAAATGACTGCATAGTAACCTTTATTTTTTTAACAAATGTTGAAATATCTGTACCCAGTCAGGGCAGTATGGGTACAGTCACATTTCTCGACCTTATGCCATGACGTAAAACCTTATCGTGGCAATATTTCCCAAATGTCCTGCCACCCACAAACAAGTCTAATCAACATTTCTACCGTGCAACTTTGAGAGATTGTGGTTTATGGCGTGACATACGCTGTCTTGATCCAGCTGTGACGATCAGTGGCACAGGGCCAGACAGGAACAGAGATCTCATCACACAAGAGGACCTTATCTGAAGGGTGAGGCGCAGTACAAAGCCACCAGGCTGTATGACTTTTCATCTAACTTTGTCTTATACTTTAATGTAGCTCTTCTGCAGGTTAAGAGCTCTTTACGAGCTCTGTTTTGTCTCAGGTGCCTCACCTGAGGACATCGTTACATAAAAGGTTAAGAGATATAACTGGAAAAATGAATCCCCTTTTCATAATACCCATTCTTAGTTGCTGTCATATATCGTTCTTGTTGCTGCTAAACTAAATGACACAAGTGGTGCTTTGCTTACTTTTCTTCAGTAACTTGCATGTAAGAGTTCAATTGCATTAAATGAATATTTCGAGGGCAGATATGTTTTCAACTAAAGGCAGACTGTAAGCAACAGAGTGATCCAAGGAGGAGTGCTTCCCAGCAGAGGGCATGGTCTGTTAGACAGTAGTCAAGTTGCCATGTGAACAAAGATTGGAAAGCCCCATTAAATGCAACAAAATATTATAATGTAAAACTCCAGTGTAACAGATCTGAAACAAACTCAATGTGTACTTTTCAAATGTTGTATTTAGATGTAGGCTATGTAGTGTAAAAACACATCTAGGTTTTGTAGCAGTAAGCAACACACAGGGCTGATGCATCCAAAACAATTTAGATGTGTTACTATCTTACTAATGCAGCAATGCCAGTGCAGCTCCTTGGCCTCTGAACCAACAGCTTTGGGCAAAAATATTTCCCACTGTATCTGTGCCTGATAATTAGAGTGAGAGCAGAGAAATTAAGCCAGGAGTCTCATGGTTTAGACTGCAACTTAAATCCCACTTCAAGTCAGATTCAATGCCCCTGATCACAGGGAACATAATAACTGTCTGTGGTTGAATAAATTCAGGAATACATGTCATTATCCTTCACAAACATGATGCAGCCAAGTATTTTCCAGAGCAGTCTTCAACCGAGTCAAAGGAGAAAGAAAATCTAAATTCACTGACACAAATGTACAAATCAAGGCTCGTGCCAGGCAAATTAAATTTGATATCTTGTGATCCAATGAGGCCAGTTACAGCACATCAGTCTTGTTCCATGCCTCCCTACAGGCATGTACAAAACTCCTAACACACACACACACTCACATAGGCTTCTCTCCACGTTAGCTCGAAAGGGTCTTTTACTTACAAGCAGTGCCGCCCGACAGATGAGCTTCAATCCGCGGAGCGAGCCTGTTGTACAGTACAATGATGTTGCAACCAAGTTCACGTTGCTTTTGGTGACACACACTGCGTGGGAAAACGAGAAATATGCGTCTGCCTGCAGCGCACACACACCCGGGTAGAAGCAGGGATGTGATGTGAGCATCAAAGTTCATCCCTCGGAACAATGTAGCGGAAACAAGAGTGGCATGAAGTCTGCAGGCACATATAGCGGTTTACTGAAACGCTTTCTCTCTCTGTTACAGCGCGTTCCCTTTTTCTTTCAACGTCGGGACGCATGCGCATGTGGGTACGCACACTGGAGAGGACAGATCCAAATACCATGCCTGTGAAAAATGTACAAGCCGAAACCTGACGGTGCTGGCGCTGAAGTTGAAGAGCACAGGCTATCGAAATCTTCCATGTGATCTCTGCTTCATCGTAACTGTTTGCTCCATGGCTCCTCGAGCCGCCTCAAACTGGACTTTTATCCCAGAGGGAATAACATCTGGAAAGACTTTGCTGTTGGCTGTCATGTTTTTAAACCTCTGACTTCAACAGATAGCAAAGTGAAACAAGGACAAGCAGTGGTGCAATGAGGACTCACTTCTGTTACATGTAAAAGTCCATAACAGCATCAAAATATACTTAAAGAGGAACACCATCTAAATTAAGAATTCCAATATGTAATGTCATGTCATTTCCATGACCTAGAAAAGATGAATCAATATTTGCAAACAGGAGCTACTCTCTCTGAAAGACAAAAACCAGAAAAGTCTTAAACTTGTGATGTCATCAAGTGTAAAGTCTGGAGCTGCTCGAAAGACAATGAACAGAAGTTTGATTTTGTGAGGTCACAGAATGTTTGAGTTCTTTTTTTATACCCAAATGAGCTTTATGTTATCGTAGGTTGTCATTACCGAAACAAAAAATGCACCCATATACTCAGAACATTCACCTGAGTGCTCTCCTATTCATTGTCTATGAAGCAGCCTCAGACTTTCTTCTTGATGACATGACAAACTTGAGCTTTTTAGCGCTCTAGTTTTTGGATGTGAGAGAGAGTTGTTCATATTTACTCATAATTTTTGGAGGGTTCCCAACTAGTGGGTCACAGTCCAAAAGTGGATCGCGGATCCATTCTGTATGGACCACAAGTGACTTGCAAACACACATTTTATTTTAAGGTATGGTAAATTTCAAGCACAGAGCTTTTATTTTTAAGTGGCGTTATCTGCTGTAGAGTGAGCAGCGACTTGATAGACAGTGATTCTCAAAGTTAAGGAAGGATCCTTAAATGGCTGAATTTCAAGGAGGCTACGCCATTGAATCCAATGTCAAGGATCCTTCAAATTCTGCTGAACACCGACTCCTTATTTCAGAGAATTTTCAAGGATGCCTGTGTGTATCCTCACTGGGCATGAAGTATTCACAGTTCTTTGTGCCAACGCAACTTGACAGGACCTGTCCCACCAAGGAAGTGTCCTTGACTTTGAGAAGCTCTATGAGACAGCATGGCAAACACAAGTATGACACTGAATTAAACTGTGTGGACCTTGAACTGATGACTGAGATTGAGAAATCTGGACCTTGTGGCTGAACCAGTTGGTAACCACTGTCTTAAAGGATAACTTCGGTATTTTGCAACCTGGGCCCTACTTCCCCATGTGTATGTGTGCGTATGATTCATAGGTACAACTCGTTTTAAAATTGGTTCAGTATTGAGGGAGGTGGATGCAACCGGGAGCCGTGAAACGAGCTAAAACGGTAATGGGGGCAAATGCGTCCCGTATAAGTTTGCACATTAAAAGTGCTTTTTTTCGCCACTGACTGGTTCAGATCGCCAGTGCTATCTCTGTAGATAGCATACTAAGCGTTTCCCTTACCCTTCACTTCCTCTGGGCTGTGTGTGACGTCATCTCGTGAGAGCTTTGCTTGTTGCCAGAAGAAAACAGAGGAGCCATGCTGAGCGCCGCTCAGAGTGGCGCTGGTTGTCCCAGAGTACAGTTGAGAGTTTTACTGCATTGATTGAAAACAATGGTTCGTGTTTGTGCTTATCCGAATTGCAAGAAAAGGATGTCATGCAACACCCGGTACAGCTTTCATAGGCTGCCTTTGTTGGATGGTGAGATGTTGAGGTTGTGGCTAGTTGTGCTACAAATGGATGCTAACATTCCTGTCCAGACACTGTGCCTTGCAGACCACAGGGTCTGCGGTGCTCACTTCTCCCAAGATGACTACTGCCAGCTGAAGAAGAGAAGACGAAGTCCCACGAGTGGAGAGAGCTACAGACACAGTGGAGCAAAGCTCTCGCGAGATGACGTCACACAGCCCAGAAGTAAGGGAAACGCTTAGTATGCTATCTACAGAGATAGCACTGGCGATCTGAACCGGTCAGTGGTGAAAAAAAGCGAACTTATATGGGACACATTTGCCTCCGTTACCATTTTAGCTCATTTCGCGGCTGCTGGTTGCATCCGCCTCCCTCAATACTGAACCAGTTTTAGAACGAGTTGTACCTTGGAATCATACGCACACATACACATGGGGAAATAGGGCCCAGGTTGGAAAATACCGAAGTTATCCTTTAAACCATGAGATTAACATGTACGAATTTAAAAAATGAGCATAGTTCCCCTTTAATGTACCAACAGTTGAGCAGAATAATTCGGGTCTACTGTGTATTATTGGACTATTCATGGGTAAGGTAAGGCGTTGCTGAACTCAGACATCTCAGTCTGACGAGACTGAGGAGCTGCCATCATTGGGCACATGTAACATTCACTTCACGTTAGTCCACTGACGTCACTCCACATCTGTCATGCTGCACCTTTACTGGACTTTGCTGCTGTGGATGTTTGCACACGTGTTAGTTTCACTTTTCTAATTTTTTTCATAATTAAAATTGCTTATATTTTGTAGTTACATTGGGGTTTTTTTCTTCTTTTTAATAGTATGTGCTGTTTGAGGATGACACATTTGCTACTTTGTTATCAATCAATCAATCAATCTTTATTGAACATGTTAAAACAAAATAAAAACAAAATCAAGGCAGAATAAGGAATAAAGCCTACACATAAATACAAACAACAACAACAACAACAACCAAAAAAACAAACAAACCTGTAATCAACAGGCAACAAAGCCTTATCAGTTTGGAAAACAGTACATCTGCCTATATTCAATTTATCACCCAAACATCATGTCCAAAAGGGATAGGAAGAAGTTATAAGAAACTTTTCTAGTCCTACCCCCTTGTCCATCTGCTTTAGTATTTAGTGCAAAAAACAAACAAACAAACAAACAAAAAAACTAATAAAGTTTACCTAAGAAATGCTTTTCCTCATGCAAGTCCATTTAGACATGAGTGCAATAACCAAGATCATTTTCCTGTAGGCCTACCAACTACAGCCCATACCTACCAAGAAGCCTACAAAAAAAAAAACAACAAGACAAAACAAAAACAAGACATAAGCCATTACTGTTCCATCTCATATGCTTGCAGTATCTTCATTTTGTACAGTCTCTTCAGTTTGGATATATTATTACATACTTTCAGCTCAACTTATGCTTGCATAATAACAATTAAGTTCTCGAATCTTGAATCTATACTGTTGGGTGGCTAAATTTGTTTTTTAAAAGCATCATTTTTTTGTTGATTACATTCTGTATTCATGATCTGAATCTGCAAAAAGCAGCTAGCAACTAAAGCTGCCAAACAAACAGTGTAAAAAAGTGTAACATTTGCCTTTGAAACACAGAGGAGTAGAGATATAACGGAAGCATCAAAAGGAATCACTCAAGTAAAAAACTTCAAAATTACTTCTCGTCAGCCGAGGTTCTGTTTTTGGAAACCTCTGTTAAATATTAACTCAGAATTGATTTTGATTACTCACCTATGCACATAGGGATACTTTTTGCTCATGTTGAGCAACAGTGAACTTTGAACAAAACCTTTCATGCTTTGTTAAATCAAATTATTCAAATTTCTCCAGTCAGTTGAGAAGTCGTACTCCCACCCTGAAAATCTGTTGCTCATTGTTTTCAAACTTTATCCTCAGCTCCTGCCGTTTTGTTTTGTCTATATAAGGCAACATCTGTGTCTATTAGGAAGGGGGAAGTCTCATGTTACACAATTATTTCGGAGCATCTTGGCCCTTTGTCATGCCAAAGAACCTGCACCGATTCGAGTACACATGTAGCATTAAGGCATTGTAAATACAGACAGAGCCTTAAGCTGCATATTTACAAGACTGCTTGGTAAAAAGATAAATATGTGTCTTTTTTTCTGTCTTTCTTTTTTTAAAGATGCCCACAGGGAAGCAGTAATGTGATGTGAGCATCAAAGTTCATCTCTAATGATTGATGCAGGCAGATCCAGACACATCCACATACCACGGCTGCATGAACGTGGGCTGCAGCCTGTGGGGCTGAGACGAAAGTGCACAGGTTAATGAACTTTTCCATGTCAGTGAGTTCCTGCTAATTATGATGATTTGCTCTATCTCTTCTCAGTCAAGCTGTATGTTTGTTCCGGAGACACCAGCATCTGGAGAGGCTTGTTGTTGTTGGCTGTGATTTTGTAAATGTCTGTTTGTAACAGAGATAAAAGACTTAAGGGATAATTTGAGCTTCTATAGGGAGGATACATTTACTAGAGAAATCCAGTTCACTTACCATATCTCAAAGGGGTTAATAAATATGTTTGTGTTGATTTCTTTTCAGATATTATAAGAAAAATATTTTGCAAACTGATGATGTTTTGTTGTGGAACACAGATCTCCTATCAGAACGTGAATACCCACTGTCTGCATATCGTCTCCACTCTATCTGCTGGCAGCAAAATTGTTTTGCACCAAAGTAAACCTGAAGATTACACATTGAGCAAATGTTTGCTGGCTCCACACCAGGGACAATGTCGGGGTTCTGTAAATATTCTGAGAGAGCCTGCGTGCATCACTCGTTTACAAGCCTACTAATTCCACTGCAGCATTTCATTATCAAGTTATGGTGTCCATAATTCATGTTTGACTCAGCATACAATAAGTGCTGTTTGTTCTGTCTGCACCAAATGCTTCTCGTGCAGACATGCGAGAGGGACTTTTTTGTTGTTGATGTTGTTGTTGTTTTACAGATGACATGGTTTGTGTGCATAGTGTGCAATTTTAATTGTCACATAATTTGCCAAATAATTGTATGCAGCTCCTCTGTGGTGAACATGGACATCTTGAGTCTTTTATATTTCATGCAAGTTCCTGTTCAGTTTAGATTAGATCATGTTTTGTTTGTACCGCTAAATGTTTACTTTCTCCCAGCTTGACAACATAAAAAAGCATTTAAACAAAAGCAAACATTGAAAAACCCAATGAAACATTAGGCAATTGATGACATACATGCTAGAAAATGTTAGGTCAAGGCACAAAGCCAGTTTCAGGATAATCTTAAGTGCTATATCATAGGCAACTGGACTTGCTTGAGTTTCTTGAAGACATTTCACCTCTCATCTAAGAGGCTTCTTCAGTTCTGACCTGAAGAAGCCTCTTAAATGAGAGGTGAAGTGTCCTCAAGAAACTCAAGCAAGTCCAGTTGCCTACAATATAGCACTTAAGGGTACCATGACCTAGATGACTGAGAATCTTCACTAACAGTTTCAGGATGTAGTCTTCAGGTCTTTCTACAGTGTTGTTTTCTGATGCAGCATGAACAATGAACCAAATATTAGTTAATAGCTGACTTTGTTGACCCCATACACAGGTGGCTGGCAGAGGATATCACAGTCGACCCAAAACTGATATTTATGAAAGGTATTTGTTTCCTGAGAGAGTGGATGCTAACAGTGATCACCTGTCTGCATCTAACAGATAGTGCAGCTGAGGGTAAGTTCACAGAAAACATTATGTAACACTCATCTTTGATTTTGTGTGTATACCACTGTGCTGCTGCATTTGGCTTGCAGCCGTCTCATGTCTCATTGCACTGTACATTCACTTAAAACCCAGTAAAAGCTTTGGATCTGCTTCTCTCCTTTAATTAACCCAGCTGACGCTTCACTGAAGCACGAGAAAGCTGGATTTACTCACCACAGATAGAAGCGTCCAGGTCAGTGCTGCCGCACCCAGCACGGACCACCATGCTGACGAACAGCCGAGTGCTTTTCCATACTGTTGGTGGTCCAAAGCACACCAGCATGCCATCCTGTGGCCTGAACTCTCTCCTCCCTCTCATTTCTTGCTTCATGCTGAAAGTGCTGGGATGCTGACACATAACATGCCTGCTCAGGGGATTTCCAAAACCTACCTAGTGTTCATTTTGCCAGCCATTTTTAGATATTGTTTAATTCTTAGTCCTGAGATCAAGAGTCTCTGTGGGTATTAGTCATATTTAGTAACCTTTGTCCCAGTTTTAGTCAGTTTTTAAATAGTCAAAGACCACACCTAACGAGTCAGTCTGGTTTTAGACCACAAATGAGCATTTTAATCAAACTTCAACAGACTGCCTTCAGGTTAGAGTTTATATTGATTTAAGTCCAACATTTACATGAATTTGAAAAGAAAATATTTGCAACATCTTTGCACGCAACGCAAGAGAAGACAGCCAACCAGTGCCCAGGCGACTTAGACATGAGATTGTAAATACAAAATGCTGAGCATTTACCTAAACAGCAAGCAAACATTACAAATAGACATTTAAATGGTACAGAGCCATTTTAAATCATTAGGACCTGACTTTCAAATGTGTGTTTATATTATGCTTTAGTGAGGATAGAAAGTTAAACAATCCAAATTTAATAAACTCATTTTAAGAAAACTGATAGCTGTCTGGCTGGGATGACTTTTAAATTTGGATAAACCTCCACATGCAAGCACTGTTAGAGGCTAATGTTACACCAGTGCCTTTTGGAGATGGCTTAATACAACTTTAAATGAATAAGTTTACATTTTAGGAAGTATGCTTTGTTTTCTTGCAGAGAGTTCATTGAGAGTTGATAAATATGAGACTGCAGCAGCCGGTTAGCTTTGCTCGGCGTAAGGACTGGACACAGGGAGAAACAGCTGGCCTGGCTCTTTCTAGCAATAACAAAATCTGCCCAGTACCTCTGAAGCTCACTAATTAACATGTTATATGTCAGCTGTTTAATACGCACTAAAAATGCAGTCTAGAGATGACAAATCATCACTTTGCAGAGTGTCATGAACCAAACAAACCAGGTGTCTCTTCATTTTTGTAGTCTTTTCAGCTAATTTTCAATCAGTAGTTTTCTCTCCCGACAATACTCACTATTCTTTACATGCCATTTCAGAGGGTCCAAATGTCAATGTGAAGTTTTATTTGACCAAGTCCTGCTGTTCATTACGCACACTCTTATACCTTAAACCATAAACCAGGAGGCTGTGATCATGTGACCTGTATGCTGCAGGCTGTTCTCCATCATGACAGAAGCAAAGGAGGAAGTCAGGTCACATAGCATAGAGAGCGATTTAGTCTGCATAGGGACGTGGTTTGGGTGGTGGACGGGTCAAACAAACACAGGACTTTGATCCAGGAGACCACAGTTTGTGCCCCTGTTGCTTCCCAATCCATACCAGCAACTTATTTTGTTATATGCATGTGCAAAGGTGGTCGCGATCAGGCAATTACCTTGAATGATTAGGGTCAGGATGGTCCACTGGTTAGGGGATAGGACCTGAACAAATCTAACAAATGAATTGAATAGTGACATCCTCGTGTGAAACCAAAAATCATTGTTGAGTTAGTTTAAGTTACATGCATACGTAACGTCCTTCCATGATCTTTTTCCCAGACCTAACTTATTCAGGGCGCTAATTAGTATAATATTATACAAAGCGTTCTGTGCGCATAATGTTTCGGAAGATACTGTTGTATGAGGATCAGCGGTGGATGTTCTAGTTGAGTAAAAGTAGCAGTACCCAGTGTAGTTATACTCTGTTACAAGTAAAAGCCCTGCATTCAAATTGGACTTCAGTAAAAGTAAATAAATATCAGCATCAAAATATACTTAGATAATCTGTAATCTGTGATAAGTAAAAGTTCTCATAATACAGAATGGCCCAATATAAGATAAGGCCATAATTATTGATGCTTTATTTTGTTCATCACTTTAAAGTTGCAGCTGGTAAATGTGGAGCTCATTTTAATTACCTCATATACTACTGGGTAGTTTACCTTGTATTAATACATCATTATTTATTTGTTGATTCATATTTTTTATTAATGATCTGACTATGCAAAGTAATAAGTAACTACAGTTATAGAATACATTTAGTGGAGTAAAAGTATAGTATTTCCCTCTAAGATGTAGTGGAGTGGGATTATAAAGCAGTAGAAAATGGAAATGCCACCATCTTACTGTACACATGTCCAACTCCTATAGCTGTAGGTGCATAATGTAGCTAGCTCAACACTTAAGCACACCGCTGGCAGAGTGTTGCTGGCGTCCAAATGTTACCAGGAAGATTAAGAGAAATGTACAGCAATCAAGTGACAAAGGGAGATTTGAATTAAGACTTTTTTATTCCATTTTTAGTTTCCTCCTTTGTCGTAAACGTTATATGGAGATATAGTCAGTTGTTGCTGAAGTCAGTTTAGTCTTGTCTTGGCTTGGTCGAGAAAAAAAGATTGTTGGCAGATATATTTTGCAACAAAATTGACACCACTGTACAGAAACTCCGCCCCATCATGCCCACATATAATCATTTCAATAAATAACAGTTTGTAACTTCAACATTGAAAATGAAAGACAGATAAATGTGTATTTTGATGTTGATACATATGTCTTTTATATTAATGGTATGAAAGTTGTGTGTTTGTGTGTATGTCATCTGGAAGAGGATTTGTTATGGCAACAACAAAAGCTTCGTAGAACATCTGTGCCTCTCAGAGATTAGTCTAATTTTTCATGTTACAATGTTGGCTTGCCACTAAAGAGACAATTATCGAGGGTCTTTTATTGTGGTGCTCAGTGTCTGTTGTAGTTTAGGGGGATGGGTAAATGGGAGGATGATACAGCATTAATAAAAAAAAAAAGAGGGAGAGAACATGTAGCACTTCTTGGAGGCAGATGGTGTCTCCTGTAAGAAGAGAAAAAACAACCCTTGCCTGTGTCAAAAAAATTACGATCAAGGATCACAAATGTCACGCACCACTTGATTCAATGAATACCTGATATTCCACATTGAGTGGTTCAAATGCCAACTATCTGAAAGGAAGCACTGCCAGTATTCTTGATTAACAAAGGAAGGTTCTGCCAAGGACATTTAATCATACCTAACAGCGGACTGAAAGTTTTTGTTTGGATGGAGAAGAGAAAGGGTGTTCCTTCCAATTCTTCAACATGTTCGGACTTTGTTCCAACCAACCACTCAGTCAGGAATATTGTGACTTAGAATATTAATACCAGCACACCAGAGCCATGTGTGAGGCTTTTGTTGCGAAACATAAAGATGTGTCATGTGTCAATAGGAGTCATTTCCTCTGTTTTTACTTTAAGTTCCAGGTCAGTGGAAAGGTCATGTCGCTGTCAGTTTATTGTGGGTGGGTCTTTTCCTTTTACTCTCGCGCTCTCTTTTACAGACATAAACACACACATAGAAGAGACATAATGCTACTGTCATCATTATAGGTCATGGTTAAAGCTTGAAGATTATACCACAGAGATCACACCTTCATGACTGGCATCCACTCCATAGACTGAATAATATCCTCACTAGCACTCTCAATTTGATAGTAGAGCAAAATACACCACCTAGTGGTAAACACTGTGTGCACCACAATATTATCCTTTCACAGCAATCTGACAGGTTTTACTCTAATACAGTAAAGAGGTGATCACATGCGTTTGTGACACTTTAGAGCCCTTTGCTGTGAAGATGAATTATGGGCTGCAATTGAACTGAATTAAGTGTAACAAGCTGAGACTGTGACCACAGGTTCTCATGATACACACTCATCAACATCATTATTGTAAACTCATTTAACTAGGTCAGAGCATGGTGTACTTCTCTAGATCTGATACAGGAAATAAGCCCCAGTGCTGAACATCCTTACCACACGCACAGAGACACCCAGTGTTGGTCGTGCACATAAAAGGTGCAAAAGTCGTAGCATAACTTTCCTTAAAAATCCCAACATGATGTGATAAACTGGTCTCTAAATTTTAGTTTGTTCAATAACAGCAGCCTTCTCCCCCCGGAGCCCTCTCACCCTCATCACAGCCTAATTACTGTTGATGATGTTCACAAACATCACTGAGCCTTTATCTCTCTTCTCTATCACTTCCAGCGGTATTTACGTCTCAGTGGGGTCATTACTTGACATCAGATTGTCTTTTTTAGGGCTGCTTTCTCCACTTGGTCCGTCAGAGCTGTCTGTGTTGCATTCAAGTTCTTTCTCTTTTATAGCCAGGTCTTGCAGGTCTGGAGAAGACAAGAGGAAGAGATTATTAAGGATCTCTCCAAGAACTGTGGAATTATCTGCAGGCCGTCTTCATTTTTAGAGTTTACAAGAACCTTAATGTTAATTTAATGTATTCTGGAGAGGAATAAAACAGCTGGTTGGAAACAAACTTAAAGATAGATCATTTTAAACTTGGGGTTAAGGCCAAGCTCGAGTTATGCTTATGAATCTGTCCCAGAGAAGATAATTTTTTTCCATTACTCACACTTGAGCACAGTCTTGTTGACGAGGGTGTAACCTCGGTCAGGGTTCCTGCTCAGGTCAATGTAGAAGAAGAACCTCAGTTCCTGTGGATACTGAGAGCGGGAAAGGTTCTGAACCAAGGGGATAAGCCGATTGGACATAGGCCCCTCTGCCAGAGCCTGGTGCATCATGTATATGCACCAGTCATCCTGCAGGAAGTTAGGAGTGATAAGCAGGGCTCTTAAATGGCTCTCTTCCACAGCCTGGCATAACTCTGTAGACATTGCCCCCCCTGGACAGGTGTCCCTCTGCCACAGAAAGCACCTCAGACTTTGTGGTGAGGCCTCCAGGAAAGACACCAGGCGTATTGCCTCTTCAGTGTCACTGTGCACAGAGCTGTGACACACAAACACGTCATACTTTCGGCTCCATCGCAGCAGTGAGCTCAGAGCAGACTGTGGCTGTGATGTTTTTTTAAAAGGGGCTGTCCCCAGTGATGATGATGATGACAAAGAAGAGCTTGTCGACGTAGATGGAGATGAAGTTGATGCACTGCTCATAGAGGACACTGACTTTTTTGCCACTTTTGTGTCTTGTTCACGTTGTGCTGGTACAGATGCTCTTGATTTCAATAGTTTCTGGAACCAACCTAATATTAGAGAGACTAAATCAAAATCAAATCAAACTGTACATATTTCTGACTTGATACTTTATACATTTTGATATCTATGAGTCCGTCCTTGTCCACTTATAAATCATAAAGTTTATAGAGGCATTAACAGCTACACAAAGCACAGTTACTGATAAAATACAACAATGGTATTCAAACAGAAGGATATGGTTTACATCCAAAATGAAATGACTTAACTTACCATGCATGTTGTTAACATCATGATGTCTGTTCAACGTCTCACCAGAATCCTTCCAGTCAATATCAGTTTAATGATCTCATCTCTTAAAAGGATCTCCTCTGCCACATACACACATTTCTCAGAGATGGCAGCTGAACAAATAAGTGCTACAAAAATGTAATATAATCCAATGACGGCGGCAGGTTGTAAAAAAGACAAAGTGAAAACTTGTCGAGTGTCACTTACAGCAACTGGATAAAAGAGGAAGTTGGTAACTGCTGACAGAAGAGTCGAATTTCAAATGCAAAGTGCCTCTAACTTTATACATGAACGAGCAGCTAGTTTCTTAGAGGCATAGACAAAAAAAAAAAAAAAAGAACAGGAGAGAGAAACTGGGCATAGCTGAGTCTTGCTGATTTTCAACAAACAAGAATGTTTCATAGGTCAGAGTAAGACCACTTCCTAATCTGGTGTTAGTATACTATTATTAGGAAGACATAAGAGGAAGGACCACATCAACTGATGTAACCCAAGCCACGAATATGCCAGAAGCCAATGTCAAATCTCTCTGCCAATCAATGTGTGTGTTTCACACACATTTATTTCATGTGCGTCATTTATGGCTTGTCATTATCTGGTCCAACTTATTCCTTTCTATTGTGTAAAAATGATACAAATGACAGCATACAAACATAACTTAAGACACTGGAAAGTACAAGACAATTGAGATTCATCAAATGTGCACACTTGCACATCTGAAGGTTTTTCTGCTTTTATAAATAATATTTGTAAGCTAAGTGATTGATCACATGCAGATAAAATTAAGGGGAAACTATGAGGGCAAGCTGGAAAAATTTTATACTTGCATCTAGAAAAGCTCCTTCCTGCACGCACATCACCTATTCATCACTTTGAGTTAAAAAGCAGATGTCCTGATGACAGTTTAGTCCCAGTGCAGCGTAGAGTGACTGACAGGTCTTAAATTAAAAGCACTCTAACATTCTTACATTAGTGGGAGTAGTTAGTAGTTAGTGCATGTTATTTTATGGAGTGGCTTGTTGGGCTGTTTAACCAGTTGGTGGCACCATGATCCTGTCTACAAAGATATCTCAAAGACATGAAACAAATAAAAAAATCAGAGAAGAGAACAACCGAGCAGTATACTAATGGCAATGTATTCCTCTGGTGAAGGGAATTATCAGATCTTGTAGTCTACTGGGTGCTTAAAAGCAGGATAAAGTAGCAATATCACACTGTAAAAGTACTTAATTAAAAGTAGAAGTCCTGTAAGTACCTTAACATAAGCCAGCATGAGCCAGGGGTAGGCAGCCTGAGGCTCCTGAGTTGCATGCGGCTCTTTGGCTTTCTTTTTTTTTCACATTCTATGGCCTGGTATCTTTTCCTATAAAATTTGCTGAACCTACACAGCTTCATTTTCCAAGCTAAACTAGCTATGGATTCCAAATAGGAGGAAAATAGAGAATTTAATTGTGTGGACAGATTTGTTTGCTTTCACCGCTAATGCTGCAAAGTTGAAGTACCAAGTTATTATGAACAGGCCACTGCAGAGTAGCCACCCTGTAGTAAAACATATTAATGAATGCTCATTTAGACCTATTAGTAATGTTTATAGACTAATTAAGACTTAATAGGCAGTTTTACTTACATTATAAGGCTCAAATATGTTCTGTGGCTCCAGACAGTTTATTTCGTTTTGGCTTATTTGATTATAAAGCTTGCTGATCCCTGACATAAGCTAAGTGTAGTACTCAGGGTCGGGGAAAAATTATTTATATTATGAGGACTAAGTGTGCACAAAATCATTTTTTAATATACTTTAACCCACTGTTATGTACTTTAATCTATGCACCAGATTGTATAAATTTGTATAAATTTTTTGTAGGCCATGTTAAATCTTAATTTCTAGGCTACTAGTCACAGTTGTCAGATAAATGTAGGCCCTGGCATTTATGGCCAAAAGACCCATTTACCTCTGAAATATTGCGCAGTGGAGAAGAGGTGTAACCATAGAGTGTAACGTAGAGAAAATATAAATACTAATGTCAAGAGAAGGTAATCCAATTTGTACTTTAAAATGAGGTATTTATTTATTAAGTTAGTTATGTATTTATTTATTTTAATTTACATCGGGCCTATATTTTAAGAGCGAAGACAAAAAAATATCGTTGTGAAATTGCGCATGCGCGAAATTGAGAACTAGAAATTGCCGGAAAACGAGATTGCGTCACTTCCTGGTTCTGCATCTGACGTGTCTAAAACAGTTTTGCTCTGGTGGTGGGATCGCACTCGTGGGGGATTTATCAGCTATTGGACTAATATCTAGTAAGATTTATTTGTTTGAAAAGTAGCTGCTAGCTCTGTAGATATTTACAGACTCATTCATTCACCGCAGGACTCCTGTTTTACCTTCTTTTCTCCCTGTATGTGTCTTTAATCCAGAAACGTCGTGGCAAGATGCTAGATTTCTTCACCATCTTCAGCAAAGGGGGGATAGTGTTGTGGTGTTTTCAGGGAGCCGGGGTCACTGAATCCTTCACCGGCCCTGTCAACGCTCTGATCCGCTCCGTAATCCTCCAGGTGGGACATAACGACAAGTCCAAATCCTGTGACAGTTGTCTGTGTTTTTCTAAATCTCAGTATGGCTCGAGCAGCTAATGCTAACGCCAGTAGGTAGCAAACGTTAGCCGCTAGTTAACGTTGGTTAACGGTCGTGACGTTTGAGGTGTGAGTAGCCTAGAAAACACCTTATCTCGAATTGTAAACTGATTTTTAACATAGTTTGTATTACAGTGACTTATTTTACAGTTAAGAAGACACGCAAGGCTAACGTTACCTGCTGTGGCAGCAACAACGTGTGTTCAGCTACTATTTACATGTCAACACTGTTTGTGATGTTTCAGGAGCGAAGTGGGAACAATTCATACACTCATGACAAACTGAGGCTGAAATACAAACTCGACAATGAGTTTGAGTTGATTTTTGTGGTAAGTCTCAGCTCACACTGAATAGATTACAGCTTAACAAATCTGTTACTGTTGTTCACGTTGTTGTTAGTTTTATATGTTGAAAATCACTTAACTCTTTTCCTTGTCTCTCTCTGCCCAGGTGGGTTTTCAAAATATCCTGACGCTGACATATGTGGACAAGTTCATAGATGACGTTCAGCTCCACTTCAGGGATCGTTATAAGAATGAGCTGGAGCAAAGGGGAGCTCTGAAGCTATTAAATAACAACTTTGAATTTGAGGAAAACTTCAAGATGCTTCTCAGGTAAAGACAGACAGTTTCACCCATGGAGGGGTTTTTTGTAAAGAGGAAAGTCATTGTAATATTGTCACAAAGTACATCCAACAGCCTTCTATTCAAGATGCTTCATTAACCAAAATCTTTTTTTTGTCCTGCCCCCTGTCCTGTGACGTACATCCAATGTTGACTACAAGAGAGGCGGAGGAGAGCAGCAGAGTTAAAGGCCCCACCAACATGCGGTCCTTTAAGGAGTCTGAGAAATCCCAAAAAACTGTGAAGTCAATGATTGAGACCAAGGGTGGGGAAAAAATCAAGGAGCAGGGTGGCAAGAAAAATAAAAATACCAAAAAGGAGGGTGAGTGCTGTTGTTCTGAAATTGCTCATTGTAAATAGCTGGTGTGACATACTTTTAATTTCAATTCTTACTTTTTTCTCCAGCTCCTGCAGCTGAGCCTGTCAAAATGGATCAAGGCAAGGCCTCATCCTCTGGGCAGAAGGTGGTCGAGAACGGTAACCAGGGCTTGACTCCCGAGGAGATCATGCTGAAGAAGAGAGAGGAATTCTTTCGCAAGCGCACAGTGGTACCTGTTGAAAAAGCCACGTAAGGGAAACATCATTCATGAATGACAAGCAAGATATGTAATTAGTTGAAATAAATGCCGTTCATATAGGTGCATTTTGATTGACATAGTTGACTCAGTAAGAGCAGTATAGAAAGGGCATGTGCAGGGTGATTTTTATCAAGTCTCAGCATTGAAGTCATGTTCTGATGTGCTAAAAAAAATGCAGGATACATTAGAGTCAGAAACATAGTTCTAATAATTATGTGTTTTTTAATATTCATCAAAAATACTAGCAATATGCTTTGAAACGATATCCCCCTTTTTGAGAATAGCTAAAAGGTTTTGTCAGTCTCTCAGTGTAAAGCATGTCTGATTGCTTTTTTCTGACATCCTGTCATCCCAATCACAGTAAGTCCCCAAAGCCTCAGAAGCCTAAGGAGAAACAGAGGCGTGTTTGGGACATGGGTGGTAGCAGCACCAAGGACCTGGACTACAGCAACAATGATGGAGGCAGTTCCCAAAATGGTGACAAACAGAATGAGGAAGCACAAATTGATCTGGTATGCACCCCCTCCCGTCCCCTCCACTCCCAGTTTAGGAGACATCTGTATTAGTCACATTAATTATGTTAAGATAAATTCCAAGTTCTCCATTTCCCGGACGTGTTTCAGGGGATGCAGCTGAGCTCCATGAAGGGAGACCTGCTGTCTGTGGAGTGTGAGTCCAGTGATGAAGAGGAGATGGAGGAGGAGGAGGAGGAGGAGAGAGTGGTTGTCAGTGAAACAAGCAAGGCAAGGTAAGAGAGTGTTTTATTGTAGGATTACTGTTTAGGGGATATTGTTGGATTTTTATTCCAATTTCTTCAAAGTATAGCCAATGTTTCTGCGCAATATTACCTTTCAATACCCTGCTATATCACCTTGTAAAACTATAGTTGTCAATATTGCTTTTCTGTTCTTTTTTAGCTTACTTATTTTACTAATTTATTCCACTTGAATTGTTATTCTATTAGGCACCTGTGTTAGCTTCACTACTTGTACACATTACATTAATTACTCCGCTGTTTCCATCCTTAAGTTGTAAGTTTTGAGCAATCACTAGTACAAGAATTTACTTCAGGATTAATTAAGTTTTAGCTCAGTTTATCCTATCCTATCTTTAGCTACCAAATTTAAGTTTGCACTGTGAACATCTCGTTTGTTGATTTCAGCTCTAAAAAAGCTGGCGGTTTTGGGGGCATGTTTGGGATGCTGAAGGGCCTGGTGGGCTCCAAGAGCCTGACTCGGGATGACATGGAGTCAGTACTGGACAAGATGAAGGACCACCTCATTGGTATGACATCACGTATCTCTTTCTCTTTCTCACCATATTGATTTTCTGCTTTTAAACGTGCACTGTCTGCTATTCATTCTCCGTCCTTTTGTGATCCCACAGCAAAGAATGTAGCAGCCGACATCGCCTCCCAGCTCTGTGACTCTGTAGCCAAAAAACTGGAAGGCAAAGTCATGGGCACATTCACCAGTAAGTTAACTTTCTCATGCTCACAATCCTCACCCACTTTCTTAAATTTGTTTTTATTTGGTGCAGAAATGAGTTTGTGTAGAAGTGCAATGTGCATCTTCCCAACACTTCCATTCTCCTCAGAGATCACCAGTCTACATCCTGGGAAAATGAATGTGATTACAGTAATGCATTTTCCCCAACACTGTCTGTAGGATTGCCACAGTAAATTAATTAAAAGAGATCGCCCCCTCAGTTTCATCTACACAAGATGCGATTTAAAATGTTGCTCAGACCACTACAGATAGTCTGTGTCAGTGAATAGCAGTATGAATGCATGATGCAAGGAGACCCTAACAGAACTTTGTGTGTGTGTGTGTGTGTGTGTGTGTGTGTGTGTGTGTGTGTGTAGCTGTGGCCTCAACTGTAAAGCAGGCCCTGCAAGACTCACTGGTGCAGATCCTGCAGCCCAAGCGCAGGGTGGATATTCTGAGAGATGTCATGGAGGCGCAGAGCCAGCGGAGGCCTTTTGTCATCACATTTTGTGGTGTCAATGGGGTTGGAAAGTCCACCAACCTGGCCAAGGTGAGATGTCAATTTTAAACGGGTTTGAAATACCCAATATTTTCCTGAAAGTGACCAGCCTAGGTTACATTTACCCACACAGGCTGCCAATTCTAGCCGTGTGGGCTTTACTGTGTGGGTTTGGGACAGTTTGTTGTCATTTATAGCTCTATTAGTAGAGCCTGGAATTCACCCTGGGGGTAAAATGCTCTACAGAGGGCACTAGGGGCTTTTTGGAGTAAAGTGTCCTTCAAATTACATTCTCATTCTTCAGGAACTTCATATTTTAAACTTCTGTATTTGACTCTTTAAGCCCATATAGCTAAACTAGTGCACCGATACAGCTTTATTTAGATGGGCTCTTCAGTTTAGCACATGACCTACATTTTGGTAAAGAGGGAGCCAAGACTCACCACATCCTACTGAAATGGACCACCTCAGTCTGCTGTGCACCTTGGTAAAGAAGTGCAGCGTTCCATAATTGATCAAACTCGATTACAGATTTTCTGTAGCTGACATATTTGAGTTGGTGTTATGGATGGGTCACTGACAATATGAATAATTGAAATAGTATCAGCGTTATGCCAGGGTAATAACGTTATGATACTAAAGTATTGTTAATCACGTCATGTGCAGTCAAATGCTTTTACTTTTTCACAGCAGACATTCTGACTTGTCACATGTTTTTATTGATTTTGTTTTTCTTTAAGTCTATACCCATATTATAAATGAATTAATTAACTCTTCTGGCTTAAATGCCAGTTTCACGATGGTTACTTTCAAGTGTATTCAGCGTCACCTACAGCACCATGAACAGCCAATATTAAGAAGCTCTTAGCAGCATGCACATACACTCACTCTTAAGAGCTGCTTTTGGAAGTGTTTGGAAAACACTAATTTGAGAGCTTCCACAGAAACATTCTGAGAAAACACTCTTACTTCTGAGGTCAGTCATTAACAGGAAACAGGGCCCTGTTTATTCAAGTGCCCCGTGGCAGTGAGCCAGTGTGATGATACCCAGACCCTAACATTGAAGTAGCTCTAGTTGTAGCATACATTGCTTCAGAATGTTACTTTTTAAATGCTCGTGTTCAGTTGTTACACTCTCCCAGTCAACATGTACAGATTGTGTCCTTTGGATATTCATGTGAACGAAATGTCTCTCTCTCTTGCTTTAGATCTCTTTTTGGCTGATAGAGAACGGTTTCACTGTGCTGATCGCAGCCTGTGACACGTTCCGTGCTGGAGCAGTGGAGCAGCTCCGCACTCATCAGCGCCGCCTGAACTCTCTGCATCCTCCAGAGCAGCACGGGGGGCGTCCGGTAGTCCAGCTCTATGAGAAGGGCTACGGCAAGGACGCTGCTGGAATCGCCATGGAGGCCATTGCCTATGGTAAAATACATTCTTTCTTTTTGTGTAATTATTAACTGTTAAGCTGTGGTTCTTTGTTTATTCCACCTGCCACTTCCATTAATGATTAAAATCACCCATATGGTGAATTCACATGTGCCCCTTCTGTGTTTCATCCCCTCCAGCCCGCAACCAGGCCTTTGACGTGGTGCTGGTGGACACTGCTGGGCGTATGCAGGACAACGCCCCCCTAATGACAGCCCTGGCCAAACTTATCGCGGTCAACATGCCCGACCTGGTACTGTTTGTTGGAGAGGCTCTGGTTGGCAATGAGGCAGTTGACCAGCTGGTGAGACCACTGACAAATTCACACTTTTTTTTTGCTCAGACACATCGTGTACTCAGAGGAAATGTAGGTGATGACTGAAGTCGTTATCTTTGTAACTAGAATGAAAATGCATGTTTTACAGGAGCACTTCAAATCCTTTAATTTACGTAATACTTAGGTTGTCAGCTGTGAGAACTGACACAGTACTGACTGAGTAGGAAAATGCTGTAGGACAAACTGAATTTGTTGTTCTTAAACTCTCCAGCAGGGGTCAGTGTTTCTTCAGTGATCTTTTGTCATGCTTGTGGACAGATGTGAGATGGGAAGATGGTGCCATAAGTAATAACCCTGTAGTCAATTTTCCAGTGCATGACTCAGCTTTCTTTCTATGTGTGCTCAGGTAAAGTTCAATCAGGCTCTGGCAGACCACTCCATGTCTGACAAGCCTCGCCTCATTGATGGAATCGTTCTCACTAAGTTTGACACCATCGACGACAAGGTATTTAATTCTTTTTCCTCTACATTCCTATCTGATTAATCACATCATGTGGCCTCTAATATAGTTAATTGTTGTCTGTGGCTGTTTTATGATTTATGAATAATTCACAGATGGGAAGTTGGTAGCACTCATGCGTCATCCTTCCTCCTTCACAGGTTGGTGCTGCCATCTCGATGACCTACATTACAGGCCAGCCCATTGTGTTTGTGGGCACAGGGCAGACCTACAACGACCTGCGCAGCCTCAACGCCCGCGCCGTGGTCAGCGCCCTGATGAAGGCCTAAGCGGCTGCATGTTCTGCTGTTTATTCATCGTCGCAACAAAGCCAACAATGCGTTTTTGCCACGCTGCCGTGAGATGTCCCAGCCCCGCTAACCTGCGTTTCACATCCTCCTGTCGTTGCCCACTCTACTTTGCATCAAACAAAGAACTGGTGTCACGCACAGGACTTTATTCTTCCAGTAAAGGACAAGTGTGCACTTTGAAAGACAGAACATTTTGCAGCAAAGCCAGAGGGGCCTCCCTTTGAATCATGTCTAAACTTTTGGGCCTACATTGAAACGTACCTCAGACCAGCCAGAGTTTTGAAACAATAAGTCCCATCCCAATGACATTTTAGCTGACTAAATGGACCTAGGCTGTAAATGTCATCAGCTTACTGGTTTACACAGTAAAGACTTAAAAAAAAAACCTCCCTACCTGGCATTTTGTCAGTCAGTTTTCCCCTCTTCATGTAAATGAGGTCAGGTCGTGAAGGCTTGCTGGATGTGACATTTCAGCAGCTGCCTGTGCCTGAGGAAAGCTTAGTGACCATAGTGCCTATCTGTCTCCTGTCTTCTTAGTTAACCCTTTCACTACACAGGTGGTTACCAGTCAAGAGTGCCATGGCAGTTCAGGTCAGAAAGAGTCTGAATCTGTTTACAACATACAGTCAAAAACTGGGCATAATTATTAGCACTTACGAAGTTAGTAAACTCCCCTGTCAAAAATGGTACACCATTCCTGGAGTGATTGCTGTGAATATCCCAGAGCTCTTTGCCAACCCAACACACAGTTAACACATTTGTTATAACATGGAGACTTTGATTCCTCAGTTTATCTTCAAAGAAAAGTGGAAAGATATTTTGTAAATTAATGTTTTAGTTCCTACAGGCTTTCCTTATATTTTCAGGTCGGTTAAGCTCTACGGGCCTTTTTATTTATGTTGTGTCTCCCCCCCCCCCGATACACTCCTCATTTGGAAGAGGAAATATGTCTTAAATATATCTAGCCCCCTTTAATTTGTGGTAGTGCAATATGAGAGAATCAAAAGTTATAAAGATGATTTGAGCTAATTTATGAGAATGTAAACATTTCTAAATAAAGCTGCTATATGCTATGACAGCCTGTAAAGTGGAACTCGCTCTGTCATATGTTGCAGGGGCACATGCTTTCTAGTCCCATTACAGATCGCTCCGGTATGATTGTCAATAAGACATGTAAACACGACAGGACAAATGGGATACCAAAAGCTTTATTTTGAAAATAGTACTTATAAATACTATGTCAGAAAACACATGCAGGTATTAAAAATACAAAAAAGGCTTACAAAGAACATTTTCAGCAAAGGAGTGGCAAAGTGATTGCTACTGGCTGGGAACCGCTCTGCTATGAAAACATAATCTTCTGAACATTAGAGGACAGAATCATAACAATAACTTGAACAATGTATTTGCAAACCAAGTAACCATCCATAACTGAGAGAAATATTTCCACCCATTCCCCCGTCCAGTAGTGTGCAAATCAAGTTTTACTGGTTTCAGGGTCGAGCATGACAGATACAGTCCTTACATATCAACACAAGATTGCTTTGAGTTAAGAGGATGTGGTGTGCGTTACAGCCTGCACCTAAGACTTTTCTTACAGGGCAGGTAGGTCAAGGTGATGCAGTCTGTTTGATTGCATCGTTGTAATCCAAATCTAAGCAATGAATCAATGCAGCACAATCAACTTCTGTCAGTGGACACATGTCTGTAATTTTTGTAAAGTTGAAATGAGAACAAACCATTCCATCACCTGTATATTTAAAACTTCCTTTTAATGCAGCTTCCCAAATGTTGAGCATCATTTAAATACAGTGCAGTGGAACTGTGAGGTTGGGTATCAGCGTTGACGGTTACTTTAAACTTCTCATTTCCCTTTTAAAAAAAGAATTAATGAAGGAAAATCACAGAAACCTGTGAAATACTGACAACGGCTTTAAGGTCTCCCATGGCCCATAGTTTTCCTGGATTCCTAAATCCACTGATTGAAATCAGACTCGAGTACTACTCAGAGTAGACTGATCTCTCGACGGAGCTGTGGAGGAAAATGACTGATACTGATCCCGACTGTGTGCCTGTCAAGAATGATGGTCTGGGGCAGAAAGAGAAGGAAGGGACTTGAGTGAACAGCTGAGAAACAAAGAGCATCAACTGAAATGTTGCCGCTGACTGCCATGCAAGCAATACTGCAAAGTCAGTTGTATCTTATCTTTGTGTAAAGGAATACCAGCAGGTCTTTTTGATACTGAAAATCAAGAAGAGACTTGAATTTTCTATCTACCAGCATGCAGTACAAAAACAAGAAGCTTAGACAGTGCTTCATTGTATTATTCTGGAAAATGTCTCTGTCAAGTGGCCCCTGCCTGAAGTCAAAGAGAAGTATTCAGTCCTAACCTTGAAGGAGGCTTTTCTGTGTGTTAAAGCCGTTCTGCTGTTCTTCCCCATTCTGAGAAGGCGATCCTGGAGATAAAGACAAAAATTTTACAAAATGAGGGCAACTCACATCCTGAACTCCTCTCAGAAAGAAAAGCAACAAGGTTAAACAGATATGTTGAACTGAAATGTAATAAATCCCACATTTTCTGATCACTGAAAGGAAACTTTTGGTGTGAAACCAGGACGACTGACCACAATTTACGCCCTCAATCAAATCAGCAGGGCAAATTTTAATGCTTCAATTCAAAAATCAGCTGGTCAAGATGGAAGCAGCAGAAACAGATATCCTGCCTTTTAATTCCTTGTATACATCGAGCTCCAAAAACACTGGCTCACATATTTTCCAAAATACAATCCAACATAAGCATCTCCCAGCCTCTAAGATACTCACACCTCTAGATTGAAATGCAGGCTTTATGTTGAAAATTCTCAAGCTCCAGCTGAGATAACACTGATGCCTTCATCAGCACAGTACTCCCCAAGCCAAGTTCATATGTCAAACTGATGGGGTGCCCCTTTAACACCTTCCTACAAATGTAATCGCAAGCAGCGCAGGAACACCCCTCCTCCTACAAACTGGCAGACAAATTAATTCTGATTGACTTTAATCCTCCTTACCCCAGCCGTTGGTAGACACGTCGCGGTTGCAGATCTCGTTGGCCAGCCTCTCAAAGTACTCAGGCAGGTCAGCGTACTCGTCTCCATAGGAGATGACCTTGATGCCCTTGTCCAGCATGTTGTCGCGCAGCTTCTTGAACTCCCCCACATCCTCTCGCCGCACGAGCATGAAGTGTTCCAGGTCGGACTTGTGTTTGACTGCCTCCAGGAACAGAGCCTGGAAGGTCGTGTCGTCTACTGTGCGCCCGCAGCCGAGAAACACGAAAGATTTGGTCTCGTAGAGCTTCTGGATCTCACGCTGTTGAAACCAGTGGGAAGATATGTCATTACACTTGCATAAAAGCGTAGGTAGAGGGAGTGTAGGGGGTACATTTACACTTAAAGGTATCCTTCACAGGATTATTTTGCAGTGGTTAGGACGCTCCTGGGTACAGTGGGCAGGTGAGTTCAGGACTTTACATAAACAAAGCATTCAGGTGCCAGACCGTAAGCATTATGAATCCAAGAGGAAGTTATGAAAATGGTGGACACAGCACCACATAAATGCAAATATGGCGAACAAGAGTGAATCTGAGGTTGACTCCGAGGTTCACATTCATTTGTGATGGTGTTAACAAACAGTACCCGACAGTTCCTGCACAGTATACTTTTAAGCCGTTTAGTAAAGAATCGTGCAGACTACAGTCCTTTTGATCAGAACCATAACCAGATGCTCACCATAACTTCAGTGTTCCTCAGTACATTCTGGTAGCCTGCAGGGTGCAGCACGATACCGCTGGGGTTGGTGTAAACGCCGTGGATATGCAGAACACTTAACCTCCGTTTCTCCTGAGCCCACTCTAACACCTAGACACACACACATTAGCACACACTTTACAGTCCATTGCACTCAATCCTGTTCTGGCTGGGCTGGGAGTAAAATCACTGAACAGCAGTTAGAGGATATTAGCCCTGATGGAGATGAGGCATAAATACCAGGACTGAGAGGCAAGGCGACGGGTCGCTCAGAAAACTCTGACCAATTTCTTGCAAATCTGTGTTCCATTTAACAAATAGCCAAACTAAGTTTAAATGAACTGGTACATAAGTTACACGATTGAACAACTGCGTTTTTTGCAGGGAAATTAGAGGAGAAAAAAAAACCTTTTGTTTACTGGGAAAACACACGCTTCTTCTTCAGCCAAGTCTTAAACCAAAAGCAAATATTGTTCAATCTATAAAATTCGACCGCAGATGAGTAATGACCAGAACTTTAACCTTACTCCACCTGTCATAGACAAAGGGGTCTTTCAGGTCAAAGCTTTATCTATTTTTCTAAAACAGTGGTCAATGAGGAACTACACTGAAAGGTAATGTTGTAAATCTAACTGTGAAACTGCAGTGATTGAGTTGCATAGAGAAGAAAATAAAAAGAGTGCTAGTGGCCATGCTTCAGTGTGTTTGGAGGTGAAATAATCTACAAAATGTGACTTGGATTTTCAAATCTGTCAGACTTGTAAAACTCCTACAATCTGAGCCTGGCCCAACATAACACATTTCTTTAGTGACCTTTGCACTCCTCTAACAAAGCTGACTGGCAGGAAATGTCAATCCGTGCCGTAACATACTCCAAACACTGTTTACCTTCTTCTCATCTGTCAGGTCCAAGGACTCCAGCTTGGTGCCCTGGTGAGCTGCATAGATCTCAAGTAGGTTGTCAAAGTTAGTAGTGAGCACCAGCGCGCCGCTCTCCATCAGCTGCAGCACTGAGCGCAGTAAATGTTTCCCTGCGTGCTCCATCTTGCACTCCAAATCGTCAAACACCTCGTATAGACAGTCCTTAAAGAATGTGGATCGCACATTGCCAGTTCTCTGTAAAGAAAAAGACGGTGAATGCTAGACAAACTGTACAAGTAAGAAACTGTCCAGGTGGCAGACCTTTCATGCAACTATTTTGTAGGTTTTTAAGTTAAAACATCAAGAATCTTTTAATAACAAAGTACACTGAACAAGGACAAGATTTGGTGGTATTACTAAAGAAAAATAAATGACTTTCTGACATGCAACACACAACAAAATGTCCTACACTGCACAAAAACACAAGGCCATATGGACTGTGTCAACCTACTTTTACTTAAAAATAGTCAGCTGAGCACTTTAAACAACACTGAATGCAGAGTGATAACAGCTGGAAAGGGAAGTACAGCAAACAATAAGCAGCACTGTGATCTAGTGCACGAAGAGGAAGTTTAGCTGGCACAATAAAAAATAAATTAACAACGAACATTGTAGCACAGATCCCGAGGCTGACAAGTATCATGTCTAAGTTCTATTCATTGTTGCTGCAACGTAAGACAGATTTGCTACCTCACTCCATGCGTTCTCATGACAGAAAACATGTGCTGACTGTCCCTAAATATGCTTTGATTTGTTTTAACACAAGAATGACCAAACTGTAGTAAAACAAAAGCAGCACATGACCATGTATTTATACTTGGGAGAGTGCCTAAGTAAAAATTTACAGTGTTTCCACCCTATAACTGCTGTGTGTACCCACTGAAAACTGACTCATAAAATAACCTCTGGCAGGAAACAAAAGAGAACACAGCCCTATTGTGAGGTATAAATCTGTACGTTCCTCATTTAATAAAACTTTACTGTACTCTTTGTATACTGTCTTTCTAGCGTGAGTGGCCCCTTTGGGAATTTAACCCCTGCCTCTGTCAGTGTTTGACATCCCTACATTCACTGGAAATGGCATGTTACACTTGTTTGAACACGAGCAGAATCGCTGCATTAGTTTAAGGGAAGTATTTCTTGTCAAGATTATTTAAATACCAGTCATCCATTGTTAACTCGCCACAACTCTGATATCAAGGACGCTTTCACAAACCCACAACAAGCAGCCTTTTAATGGGATTGAACTCTTAAGTACACAGTTTTACTTATCAGACCATGTGACCTGACCATGTGTGTCTTAAAATAAATGTGTGCATTTGAGCCCAGGTTGAGCAACAGTTGTATGTTAATGTTTCTTTGTCTGAGCTTAGGAACAAGGTGGAACCACAGAATAATTGCGACCACTAACACCACAGAAGAGGACAAAATAAAGTAACACTGCAGGGTAATTTCTCAGAAGAGACAGAACAGTAGGTATATATCTGTTTTTGGTTTTGTTTACAACCTAATATTAGAGTATGCACAGTTATTTTGCCTAGTCAGCTCTCCTACTCCTACACACATGAGGTGCAAAGGCCCCAGCATAGTTACTATACTAAATCGGGAGCTTAGACCCAAACTTGAGCACTAACTAACTCATAAATAGTCATGTACGCCACCAGGCCTTTCTGATTTCGTTTAAATGTGCTTTTAAGAAGACTTCTCCTTGGCGCTGCCCTCTACAAGAATCCAAACTGCCATCCCATGTGTCCCAACTTACCCTCAAGTGAAACCTAAGTAGTGTGTCAAGTGTCTGCCAGTTTTCAAAATATCTTCTCATGAGCAACTTTGTTCTGAATCAAACTCTCCATCACCCTCTCTGATCCTGTCCACTGCCCTTCAAGCAGCATCTCACACACTACCCGAGTAGTCTACTAAGAGATTACAGGGCTGTGACTACACAGTCTAAATCACAGCCTTACCTGAAGGAGTCTGTTGTAAAAAAAAAATAAAAATAAAAGAGAGTGAGAGGCATCAAGAGTTGGGCAGCTAAGAATAGCAAAGAGTAGCGCAGAGATGCAGTGACCAAGGTGATCCCAGCACAGGGAAATGCTCCGCTGACTTCCACAGATTACAGCTCTAATGGGCTAAACAGCGGGAGTCCTTTCCACAGGAAGAAGCTCATTATCCGCATCTAGTGTCTACAGCACCCATCCTGATCACTGTGTCCTTGGACTGTCTCAGGACTTATGTAATGACCAAATAAAGTGCAAGTAAACAACTCTGGTTTCTAAATATTCATCCTAAACTAACAGATTAAGCTGTGGACCTGACTGTGGACATGCAGTTAGTAAAATATAGAAATATGTGTGCAGCAGCAGTGACAGAGACTGACTTTTCATGAGTCTCTTGCCACTGGAAAATTCCCAAATTAACCAGAACATTTGATCTTTCTCCACTGACAGCTATGGTTAATTTCAAAATGATAGCTGACATGGAAAAAATAGACCACAACAGCTTCCTTTTGCAGCAAGGGCTTTGCTTTATCATCTGAAATCTCAGATAACCACCATCACAATCAACAGATGATCATAAGTTTCCTCCACTGACCCCGTGGAAAATATTGTTTACGTTTCTTGCCCGACATTAGCAGATAAACTTGTCAGCAAAGTTGTTATTAGCCTTGTTTTTGTCAAGGTCAAAGGTGTGAGAGGATTTACAACAAAAACATTCTCTTTCAGTTTTAACTTAAGATTACCCTAATTACCTGAAACTGTGCGCCTGCACACCACCATAATCCATCTGATACACAATGCCATGAAAAGTGGGTTAAACTCTCGCAGCTGTAACTGGAATTAACTGGACTTAAGGCAGGTCTCTCACTCCCTCGTATGCTTCGGTTTCTAACGGTTTATTGACAGTAGGACATATTGTCTAGTATCGTACGCCCCTGGGAAAGACTGTTTCAAACACTTGAAGAAATCTGTTTTCTTGGGTCAGAGGCCTTCAACTCAGGTCCAGTGCTAACATGTGAAAACTGCAGATGGGTTTTGTGAATGAAATCACTACACCGACATGTCCTCTATGATAACTTACTGTATGCTTTCTGTTTGGGTGGTTCTTTAACTCTGTCTGAATGAAAAAATTTGGGCTCGGGGGCTGCTGGTTCACATTATTCGCGCTTGTTTTTTTCATCAGCATGCTAGAGCCTTCTGTGCCCGTAGCCAACAGCAGTGGGCTGGTGTCTGCACGACTGTGGATTGGAATAAACACGATAGATAAAGCCATAAAAGCGCTGTTTGTTCCCTTTGTAACAACAGGCTGAGGGCTGAAACAAAGCGTGTTTTATCAATGTCAAAGGTGCGATGAGACATGACTAACACAGGAGGCAAACTGTATTAAGGCTCCCATCTGCCAGCCCTGCTCCAGACCAGACCGGTCCAATAGGTAGAGACCGGAGTTATATGGAAATACAAAAATGTTTTACGTACATTTCAGTTTTCACAATTCATCTGTAACAATCCAATTGATCTGGAGCTGCAAGGTCCTGTAAAAAAGAACTCACAGTTTATGATTTGATTTATTAGGAGACTATAAAAAAATGCCGTGACTGTAACCTTCCTGAGCCTGTGAAAGCTCTGTCAGGGATGGTGATGCCTTGTGTGAGGATCTTGTTGTATTCTTATGGTCATATTTATAGCACAGATTTTCTGGTAGTTTCAGTGGGCTACTTTGGTGTATTAAACTGTAATGTTTCCCCTTGGTGCCACAACTGTGACAAAACATTGTGTTTTTTGCTGTCATAACTGTCTTAAAATCGAAAAAGTTCCACACTACAGAATGTAACCCATTTTAAGTGTATAGCACATTAATTTGATCAGAACTGGTGATAAGAAAATGCATTTTCTATTCCTTGCCTTCTATTCCTAATAGATTCTTGTTTGATGTTGATGCAACTTCAGGAAAAATTAAGACATTTTGGTGTGGTTTGATGGAAATAATTTTTAAAACAAATATGTGTAAATTCTAAGAATGTGAATGCGCAGAGATACTTGAATTACAATTTAATATGATCAATCATGCAGTCTTACAGAATGTCCACACCACAAGGTGGGTGGCTCAGTTTCTTGTATTAAACCGGAGGTCTTGTATATGATGTCAAGCTTGTTTTTATATAAATTTTATTTCTCTTCGGAAAAACAAACAATTATCATCTGAATTTGGAAGAATATGAGAGAAACAAAGTGAACACCTGACTGAATAACAGGAACATTTAAAGGCTTTGCACTGCTTCACTAAACACAGTTTGGGGAAGTTATTTCCAATGCAAACTATTGTGTATGTCTGTTTGGTGATGAAATGGAAATTTCAGTGGCCTGACTACCCAAACTACCATCGTAGCTTTGTGCATTTTGTACCCAGCGAAACATTAACCTGTAAGATTTTTCAGTTTAAAGTAGAGCTTGGCAATTGATCAAATGTTACGCTCGATTTGAGTTTGGCTTCCAATTATTACGAAAACAAGATAATCAAGATAAATCGATTACTGCACTGCATTCTGTTTTGATGAACGATGCTCTCCTTTTGTCTTTTGTTATAAATCCAGCGCACTCCTTTCCTATACAGTGGTATGCTTTTGCTCCGCCCTAAAACCCCAGGCTGTGGCATGTTTAGTTCACCTCAAGCCGAGATGACAGAAGAAGAGCCTTTGGTGAATGAGTAATCCTGCTGTGATCTCAATATTGACCAAAATAATAGTCATTGTGATTTTTGCCACAATCAGGCAGCCCTAGTTTAAAAATAATGATTTAAAAATCATGTTTATAGAAAGGGACAAAGATGTGTTTTTCACATGGAAAACTAGTTCAATGCAAGTTTGTATGCTGTATATGAGCTGTAAATATGCTGTATGCCTTGATTAAGGACAGCAAGAAAGGGTTTAAAAAATAAACACAACTGTGGTTCAGCTCGCGTGTCTTCATTAGTGTGTGTGTGTGTGTGTGGTTTTTTTTTTTTCAGAAAGTCTTGAAGAAAGCAGATGTGGTTTTCTACACACCAGTGCGTGAGAAACCAAAAACAAGTCGCTCTTCACATATGCGATTGATTCCACATCCAGTGTTTGCATTGATCACAATTTCTAAGAACAAGTCCAACAAACAAGCCTTGTCATTAGTCATTAGCTATGGGTCTTTTAATGAGATAGGGCTAAGGTATCTTATCTCAATCCATAGAAGCTGAAACAAAATGTCCCTGGCTGAGGAAAGGACAGTGAGCTGGCAGTCTGTCTGCCATGTGTTTGTCCTTGTGCGACAGGGTGGTGCAGAAAGGCAAGGAAAGGAAAAAGGCTCAGGCAGACTTACCGGGGAAAGTTTCTGAATGAGGTCATGGGCCACATGCACCAAATTCTTATCTTCCTGCATGTGCTTCTGGAAACGCCGACTCTCCTCCTCCTCCAGCAGATCAAAGTCATTGGCTGCATCAAGCAATGCCTGGATGAGGCCCTTCCAGGAGCGGAGCGCAGGGACCTGAGGGGCCACTGCAGAGCTCACCCCCGTGCCAATCACCAGGACAAGCTCGGGGGCTCGCTTGGTCTTCAGGCTGGGCAGCAGTTTCCTTTGGGGCAGGCAGAGATTGAGTGATGATGGTTCCAAACGTGGTGCTTCCCAAATCCTTCCACACAGCATTAAACACACCGTTTTCAAGCAGAATAACATGCAGTGTGAAACTAAAACCTACCTTAGGACTGGAAAAAAATAGGATCTCAAGAAAATTTAAACCAGCCCTGTAGACAAAACTGACGCATGAGTCACGGGCAGATTACGCAGCACCTTTGCTTACCTGGGCTTTTTCGCATTGGAGTCTGCATCCTGAGAATCAGCTGCAGGTCGCTTCTCAGTTTTCACTGCAACAACGGAGGCCATTCAGGTCCTGTGGCAGAAACAGGATTAACCACATGCTAACTATGATGACTACTTAAGCTGACAAAAAGAAACACAATACAACAACTCTGGATACAAAAGGATGTCACATGCACATGGTGCCTGACTGTCATTTGATAGGCTTTCATCTTTGCAACCTTACATGTCATATAAGAAATTATAATGTGGGTAAAAGTTCCCTGGAAAATAAAAACAGTGGTTTTACTTGCCCTACTTGTCTTTATCATTCTGCAAAGAGGAAATAAGTGATGTGTTTCCACCCGTCAACACACCTTCCCTGATAAGCTCTTAACCACTCCATAAATACAACCTATTGTTCCTGGAATCTGTAGCAGACAAGGTGACGTTAGCAAGTTTGTGTTAATGAGTGTTTCCTCATTTATGTTTTCTAAAGCCAGTGTATCGCCAATACAACAACAAGCATATGCAAATGAAAGTTATTATTTAACCCAGTGCACGTTTCACACCAACATTGATTTCTGAGGAGATAACTTAATTGCCAGTTAACTTACAGTCCAAACAATAGATACACGGTTACACCGGAAGCTAACGTTAACATAAACGTACAGTTTACTTACCTTGATATAGGTGACGTTGAGTTAATGCCCAGTGTTTATTTCCGTTCAATAGAAATCCTTTTGATTCAGCTAAAGTCGACTGAAAGCCACGCTAAATACTTTGGATATCGACTTGAGTTCAGAGCTTTGAGCTCTCGATGGTGTTAATGCTAAGTTAACGTCAGCGTCGGTGCGGTAAACACCTACTGAATCACAAGAGTAACCGACAAAGAATCCCCAACTAACTTCTAACAACTAGCGCTAAGCTAACTTCAGTTTCTTTTCAGCTTTAAGCTAAGTTAGCTTTCTCCGAAGTTGTCAGGAGCCCGAAGCTGCCTCTGTTTTACTTTTCATTCTGAAGATAGAGTAATTAAAGCAGCATAAATATGTTGTTAACTTATCTCTTCAGCTACAAATGATGTCAGGTAATTTCCCCAGAGTACCGTCACACAACAGAAATGCTCTCAGCGTTGCTGGTTGCTACTCTTGACTATGACTGTCTGTGTTTAAGTTTTGCGGAGCTGCCGAAGTCACCGCCGGCGGTGATGTGCACCCGGTCTTATGATGCATTCAGGTGCTGTACGTATAACTGAACTTGGCTTTGTTGTCCCGGGAAGGAAACTTGTATCAGTGCACGGCGAAACACACACTAAAGCAGACTCGTCCATTAGTAAAACTAAAAAATCTTTAGATGTCAAAATTAAACTCCCAGAATAATAACGTAGACGCCCTGGCATTCCCATGGAAACCGTGACATGACATATACATAATGTATTATTCTGTGTAATTTACATCCAAATATTCATGCACACACTATCGTTTTAGCCTTCCACCACTTCACAATACATAACCTATTAATACCACTCATTTTGTACTACAAAACAACACTTATTTACAATTTAAAAGCAAAGTACCTATATTTACAAAGAGCTCCTGAATGCAGCAAAAGCGGTACTCTTTCTGACTGTGTGACGTCAAAATGAGCATGAAGCCAGACAACGACCTACATTACCAGTCCCAGGGTGCTTTAATGTCATATTCTCAACTTTTGGACAAGTCTGGTGTTCATATACCACCAACGGAATATGCTTTAGTTTTTTATGCAACCCCTCCTGGCTCCTACAACAACTCTGCTGTATTTAAATTGACTTTTCTACCTCTGGATCTTGTTGTTTATTATGTTGGTCAGACTTGTTTCTCATGTAGAAAGACATAATAACTGTGCTGTATGTGCTTTATTTCAGAAAGTAAAAGTTTCTCACTTCAGACCTGGACTGGAAGAAAATCTGGTGCCTACCTTCTAAATTCTTGTTACAAATAAGGTGAAGGAAGTGACCTTTAAGGTGACTCACAGTTTTTATCACACCATGACATTTCCTCAGATATAAATGACATTGTTGTGCACTGCTCATTTGTCAACTGACTCTAGAAGATTTACGCCATCCATTTTGGCCTTGTCCCCACTCCTGTGTTTTTGGCAAGATGACTGTTCTTTTATTTCCCAGTATATTGATTTTGAATTTCCCCTTTCTCGTGAGAATGTATTGTTTGGCGTTTTTACTTACCCTTCTACCAAAGCAAATCAATACAACATCATAAATCTGATTGTATTACTTGCAAAATGTCATATTCAGAAATCAAAATTTACCAAAAACCCTGTATAACATTTAATGAGCTGATGTAAGAATACTTTTGGTGGTCTGATCCCCTGGCATTATCTAACTATTGTATTATGTTCATGCTGTCTATCAATAAAATGTTGAAAAAAGACCTACACAGTACAATCTAATGTATATAAACTGTTGTTCACACCTTAAAACTGTTGCTTATTCTATAAAGTTATTGTCCAGATTGCAGCCTTTTGCATACAGCACTTGTCACTTTCTAATACAGGCTATGACAGCATTATACAGAAATCAGTGTAATCAAATATGAAATATCATTCATAAAACTGCCCATCAGTCTTTGTGTTCAGTGCCTTATGATTAGAAAAATAGTCAAAACTTTCTGCCAGTTCTAGTACACATGATTTTACCCCTGTATTCAAAAGCAAGAGATTTCATATTTGAGAATGATACAATAATTTGATTTTAAATCACCAAAAATGAATCGCAGTTATAGTAAAGCTGTCACTTATTGATACACCCTGCAGCAGGCATTTTCCCAGATGGCCTATTTTACCAGAGAGCATGTTTTTCTCCTTCTCCCATAACTGAACGTGTGCTTAACAGGAACACGTCAGTACAGACAAAAAAAACAAAAAACTACTACAAGGCTGCCATCTACTGGTTAAAATAAGAACTGCATGTTTAAAGCATGAAGGGCAAAAGTCACAGCCCCTTAACAAAACAAAAGCTAAAACTTTTCGTGATTTGTCTGACATAAACCAAATGTTACATAAAATAACTACATATAAATATATTACTGCTCTTGTGTCAAGTTATAACTGATGTGGAGATGGCACAAAGTTATGCAACATATCACACATGGTGCAGCACTGTACACCAAGCAGAGCTACACCATAAAAATCCAGGTGTAGATCTTTTATGTACCCTACAAATTAGATTTTTATAATTGATTCCTTATAATTAGTACGTAAATATTTACCGTGAAAATGTGCACCCAGGTGGCCTTAGTATACTCTATATGCGTGGTAGTGTTTCCCAAAGTACAGGCCTTAAAGCAGTCCTACTTCATTACTACATACAAGTGGAGCTGCTGACATTAATAGAAGGACCAAACTTAATAAAATATACACAGACCTCGATGTTACAGCTCTTGCCAGATTTGCAGATAAAGTTGCAACATTAATAAAGCTGTAATGCTTATTCTGCACAGAATCAGAGCGATGTGAAGGTCTGATTTTCCTAAAATTAAACACAGATGACTCTGTGACAAAAGTATTTCAGACTCCACAGCCAAATTCAACAAAAGCAGCTGTCAAATTCCCAAAATGCACAATGAGTTTCCTTCACATACAGTCTACAGCTTAAATTCCACTTCTGCAGGCATTGGGGCGACTGTGTGAAAACAAGCTGGTATATAGTGACGTATAAATACTGTATGAGGGACATAGAAGGTTAGATTATATGGTTGCAGTCACAAAAAATAGCTAGACAGTAATCTGTAAAGTCGGTGACTAGAACAGTCTGTGCTGAGAACATTCAAAGGCCCACTCATGATCTTTCTTTTATTTGTCAATAAACCCAAATTAACATCGTCATGATCAAAAATTTGACATACCTCCCTCAAAGTACCAAATAAAACAACAATATATATATGTTGGAGTGAGATGATCCACACATGTTCACCTGGTGAGTATATAAGTTATAATTATAGTGCAATACATATTGTGTATAGGCATATATGAAATCATAGCCCACATCAATGCATACAAGTCAGTATTAGATATCATTCAAATACATAACTGAATCAGCAGACACATTGTCAATCTACACGTATCGATGTATTCCAAGACACAATCAAACATTTAAAGGCATAACATTTGTCAGTCTTCAACATTCAAAATAATATTTTTTTCATTTTACACATTTTTATCCCAAATCATGAACTGTTAAAGAAAATGAAAGCTGTAAAGATTTGTGTCTCCGTGTTCATTTGATAACAGGAGAAAAGGCATACTGGTCACGTTTGATGACTTAAATCAACACTCTCTCTTACAAATGATTTTTTAGTCACTGGTTTATTTGCAAGAAGGTTATAATAATAGGCTGTTTAAAGGTCAAAAATATAACCCAGAGCTCTGAAAGAGGTAAAATCCCTTCATAAAGCAAGAGCTTCTTACTTTTCAGTCTTTCCCTTCTTTAAATGCAGCAGTTATCTTAAATAGCACATGAACCTGAAAGTTGCATGACGCATAACAAAAGCTTTAGTTGCTAGGCTGGCAGATCTGGAGCTGTAGTAGTAAATAACATAGTAAATAACAAAGATTACAGGTGTATAAACAGTCACCGTTTGATAGTGAAATCAGTCATGACTGGTGTTTGCAGATGTGTGTTGTAGCTGACATGAAGTCTCACACGAGATGAACGTACTGTAAAGTAATTTATGGCTTTAAGGGCACAAAGGATTAGCATAGGTCTGGATCCAGCAGCTTCTTCTTACTCTCTGAAACCTCTCATAGAGCCTGACAATAAAGTCTACGAAGAGCCAAAGTTACAGGAAGAAGAATGCACTGCTTTAGGATTCACAGCTGCTCTATACGGAGATAGAGCCCTCTCTAAAGTTGGTCTTCCCTATGAGAACGTTGAGAAGTGTAGCCTTGCCCTCCCGGGTCTCCTTCTGAGCCTGTTTGATGATGTCGCTTAGCCTGTCCTCGTCCTCGCGCCCTACAAGGTAGCCCTTACCGCCGTAACCGTCTGCAACTATATGATAATCTGCAAAAAGGAGAAGAAATTATAACTTGTCAGTAAGTAGCTGCTCAGTCATCATACACAAACATTTATGTATAAACGGAGCACATATTCCTACATCCAACACAGAAAACTTACCTGTAAATGCAAGGCCACATGCCACGTTACTGCCGAGTATAGGAACCTGCTCTCTGGATATCTGACTCCAACATGCGTCATTTCCCACCACAGCTATAACTGGTGTCTGGGGGAAAAGAGCAAAACGTGAATAAGCAGATGAATCCAAAAAGAAAAACTGTAACAGTCTCTAATTCATATCTGCAGACAATCCTTCATATCTGCAATATGTATTCAATATGTGCCTTATGATTAGATGCAAAGTCTAGCACACACTGATTTTTACTCCTGTGTCTACAAGCAAGACATTTTATATTTGAGAATGATACAATAATTTGATTTTAAAGCACTAAAAATGAATCACAGTTGTTGGCCTATTTTACCAGAGAACATGTTTTTCTCCCTCTCCCATAACTGAACGTGTGCTTAACAGGAACACGTCAGTACAGACAAAAAAAACAAAAAACTACTACAAGGCTGCCATCTACTGGTTAAAATAAGAACTGCATGTTTAAAGCATGAAGGGCGAAAGTCACAGCTCCTCAACAAAACAAAGGCTTGATCTTTTTGTCTGATATAAACCAGTGTGGGTTTTTTTTTTTCAAATGTTACATAAAATAACTACATATAAATATATTACTGCTCTTGTTTCAAGTTATAACTAATGTGGAGATGGCACACATGTTACAACATATAAGCCAAGCAGAGCTACAACATAAAAATCCAGGTGTAGATTTTTTTATGGATCTCACAAATAAGATTTTTGTAATTGAGTATTAATAATTAGTACATTAAATATTTACCCTAAGGATGTGGGCCCCCTTGCATCACAGGCACAGGCGCAAGTGGCCTATAATATGCTTGATAGTGTTTCTATTCATTTATTCTTTAAAGTTTATGTATGATTCAGCAGCTTTATACATCCTAAAAATTGAAAATAATAAGTCAACTAAATCTAACAATAACAGGCCAAGATGGACTCACCAGGCCTTGTACCCGAGTCTCCTGTGTGACAATCCTGTGCTTAATCCACGTCAGCTGCAGCAACGACA